CCAAACTTTCACAGAGGCTTTGTCATCAAGTGCCCTGGCGCATATTGTCGGGGTTTTGTGATTGGATAATATTTGACCTAATTATGGCCCTTTGTTTTTTTTCCTTATATAGAATATATAGTGAATAACTTCTTCTGTGCCCAACTGTTCCTACATTTCTCAATGGATTTTGACCAAACTTTCACAGAGGCTTTGTAATCAAGTGCCCTGGCGCATATTGTCGGGGTTTTGTGATTGGATAATATTTGACCTAATTATGGCCCTTTGTTTTTTTTCCCCAATATAGGATATATAGTGAACGATTTTCTGTGCGCAACTCCTCCTACATTTCTCAACGGAATTTGACCAAACTTTCACAGAGGCTTTGTCATCAAGTGCCTTAGGGCATATTGTCAGGGTTTTGTGATTGTATAATATTTGACCTAATTATGGCCCTTTGTTTTTTTCCTTATACAGATTATATAGTGAACAATTTTTACCATGCGCAACTTCTCCTACATTTCTCAACAGATTTTGACCAAACTTTCACAGAAGCTTTGTTATCAAATGCCCTGGCGCACATCATCGGGGTTTTGTGATTGGATAATATTTGACCTAATTATGGCCCTTTGTTTTTTTCCTTATACAGATTATATACATGTAGTGAACAATTTTTACCATGCTCAACTTCTCCTACATTTCTCAACAGATTTTGACCAAACTTTCACAGAGGCTTTGTCATCAAGTGCCCTGGCGCACATTATCAGGATTTTGTGATTGGATAATATTTGACCTAATTATGGCCCTTTGTTATTTTTCCTTATACAGAATATATAGTGAAAAAATTCTTTTGTGCTGAACTCCTACATTTCTCAACGGATTTTGTTCAAACTTTCACAGTAGCTTTTTTATCCAGTGCCCTGGCTCATACGTGGGGTTTTGTGATTGAATAATTTTTTATTTAATTATGGCCCTTTGTTTTTTTTCCTTATACAGAATATAATTATAGTGAAAACTTCCTCTGTGGCAATTCCTCCTACATTATTCATGTTTTACATTGCACATAGTTACATTGTTTGTTGCTTGTATTTGTATTTTAAATACAACATATTTATCTACAATGGTGATAATTGAAAACCTGGTTTCATGGCATTGCCATGTTTCTTGTCTTTTATTGAAATAAAGCAAAAATTGATAATAATTGTCTTAATACTTGCAGAGAAAAGAACTTCGCACATGGTTTTCTTGTATGAAAATAAAGCAAAAATTGATAATGACAATTGAAAATTAACCGTAGACCTATAAAATTGAAATATCCTGCTTTGGATTTCTAATAGTCAATTAATGGTTTAAGAGAGTGTTACTTAACAAAATACAAATATTTAGCAGCCAACTGATTCTAGTCAGACTGTATAGGCTCAAGGTCTGAAATCAGCATGTTCTTCTGCATATACCAGTATTCATTTATTAACGACAGCATTCAAAGAGAAATTCAGATTTAAGTAAACATGATGGCCGGGAACGCCTGTTGAAATAAGGGGAGGGTTTCTTTTAAGACAAGGGATTGAATAAATATTACAGGTGGTCTTGATTGTTGTACAATTTGGCTGAAATTATTATGGCCATTTTAAAAATAGATTTAATTTTAGATTTTTTTTCTTGAAGATCTGCCAAGTCAGACTAAACTGCTTTGTGTGATCTCTAAAATAAACAGAGATTTATTTACCTCTGACTGTGTGGGTTGTATATTAATCTTTCTGAAATATCTTTGACATGTTAAACAGTCCTATTTTTTATTTTCATGCATTAGATCAATAAAGAAATAAATGATATTTGATGTGTTGTTTGAATTACTGCTGAAATCTCAACCCAGCAGAATATGGTTTACTACATGTATTTCTAAGGGTGAGGTTGGGAAATATTTCAATTTTTAGCAAGCAAATTTTTATAATGTTTTATAGCAACATGTAAACACAGAAATGAACTGTATATAAAAAACTGGGGTATATCTTAAACTTTGTTTCCCTTAAGACACTGCAATAGAATTGTCTTAGCAATAAAATTACATTGAAAAAAGATATAAAAAAGTAACCTAATCCTCCACCCACACCCTATCTTCAATGCCCACCCCCACAACCTAGTCTTTAGAATTTGTCATTTTTGAAGAAAGTTCAAAAGTAATCTCATGATCTTCTCTGAGTTCTTTTAATTTAAAACCCAACCCAAACAAAAAAGTGTTTGAATTGGATTATTTGTCATAAATACCTGCAAGTACTGTGTTAAAAGCAAGCTTAAAATCTGTTAAAATATGTATCAGGTATCATAATAATTAACTTTATTTTAGATAACCGTACATAAATAATTTACTGTTTCCTTTTGGTTTTTGAGAATAAGCTAGTTTTTGTTCTGATACTGAATACCAGACGTTTGTTAGAGATTGATTTGTGAAACAACTGTTAAGGTCATAAACAGAATGTCTATTGTAATACCCATTTTATTGTATGCAAATATGTTCTTAACTACTCCCCAGGCAACTTTGGGTTATAAAGAATATGAAAGGAGATTTGATGACCTGTCTTTAAATGCCAGTGTCTGATTGGTTAATTCCTTTCAGAAAATGTCATGATACACCATTACATGTTGAATGTCATGATAAACCATTACATGTTGAATGTCAGAATACACCATTAATTGTTGCATGTCAGAATACACCATTAATTGTTGAATGTCAGAATACACCATTAATTGTTGAAACCCTTCAAATGTCACATGTATACATAGATTGGGTAGCTGTATACATTTAGTGTTTCTATATATTGATTGGGTAGCTGTGTACATTTAGTGTTGCTGTATATTGTTTGGGTAGCTGTATACATTAGGTGTTGATGTATATTGAAGGCAAGCTGTATACATTTATGTTGCTGTATGTTGATTGGGTAGCTGTATACATTTAGTGTTGCTGTATATTGATTGGGTAGCTTTATGCAGGTAGTGTTGCTGTATATTGATTGGGTAGCTGTATACATTGAGTGTTGCTGTATATTGATAGGGTAGCTGTATGCAGGTAGTGTTGCTGTATATTGATTGGGTATCTGTATACATTCAGTGTTGCTGTATATTGATTGGGTGGCTGTAAACATTTAGTGCTGCTGTATATTGATTTGGTAGCTGTATACATTTAGTGTTGCTGCATATTGATTGGGTAGCTGTATACATTTAGTGTTGCTGCATATTGATTGGGTAGCTGTATACAGGTAGTGTTGCTGTATATTGATTGGGTAGCTGTATACATTTAGTGTTGCTGTATATTGATTGGGTAGCTGTATACATTTAGTGTTGCTGTATATTGATTGGGTATCTGTATACATTTAGTGTTGCTGTATGTTGATTGGGTAGCTGTATACATTTAGTGTTGCTGTATATTGATTGGGTAGCTGTATACATTTAGTTTGCTGTATATTGATTTGGTAGCTGTATGCATTTAGTGTTGCTGCATATTGATTGGGTAGCTGTATGCAGGTAGTGTAGCTGTATATTGATTGGGTATCTGTATACATTTAGTGTTGCTGTATATTGATTGGGTGGCTGTATACATTTAGTGTTGCTGTATATTGATTTGGTAGCTGTATACATTTAGTGTTGCTGCATATTGATTGGGTAGCTGTATACATTTAGTGTTGCTGTATATTGATTGGGTAGCTGTATGCAGGTAGTGTTGCTGTATATTGATTGGGTTTCTGTATACATTTAGTGTTGCTGTATATTGATTGGGTAGCTATATACAGTTAGTGTTGCTGTATATTGATTGGGTAGCTGTATACAAGTAGTGTTGCTGTATATTGATTGGGTAGCTGTATACAAGTAGTGTTGCTGTATATTGATTGGGTAGCTTTATACAGTTAGTGTTGCTGTATATTGATTGGGTATCTGTATACATTTAGTGTTGCTGTATATTGATTGGGTAGCTATATACAGTTAGTGTTGCTGTATATTGATTGGGTAGCTGTATACAAGTAGTGTTGCTGTATATTGATTGGGTAGCTATATACATTTAGTGTTGCTGTATATTGATTGGGTAGCTATATACATTTAGTGTTGCTGTATATTGATTGGGTAGCTGTATACATTTAGTGTTGCTGTATATTTATGGCAAGCGGTATACAGGTTTGTACTGGTTGCGTGTTTAGTGGTTATATAGCTGTGTACTAGTTCAACTGTGTGTAGTTGGTTATTGAAGACATAGCTATTTACTTGTGATATGTCAGCATATACTTGTGGCTTTTGCTGACATTATTACAGCTCTAGTGTAATGAACTAAGAGTCCACTCCCACATATCTATTTACATAGCCAATTTACCGATATAAATTAACAAGCCAAAGTCAATCAGGTCTGAGATTTGCTGTATCGAATTGGAACTCAGTCAATATTATTTTAGCCACTGAAGATCATGAGTGTCTACTGGAAGTCATTCTTATTTGTTAACAGTCTCACAAATGACAGGTCCTGCTGAGTGATATGAAACTTTTGCTACAAACTATATGTAAATGTCAAAGTATTTTATGATCAATATAGGCAGATGAATATTATAGGTCTTGCTAAAATCTGTCTTATTCCTTAAAGCTCAGAGGCTTATTCACCATTTATATTTCTCAAGAATTCAGCTACATTGTACATTTTGTACTTTGTAACAGATTTATGTTCTTCACAGTATCAATACAAACTGACTTATAAATGAATTCTTTATGAATAAAAACTAACTACAGGATGATGTTGCTATTTTAATGCCTTCAGATATTATGAAGCAAAATAAATATGATGCTTAATTCTTTTTAATAGATAATATTAAATATAAGTTGATGAATTCATTGTTTTTCTTTACTGTTAAAATATTGTTAAGATCAGATTACATGTTTTTATCACAATTATATATTTTGCTTGAATTTATGAACTTTAAATTGAACAAATATCTTATCAATTGTTATCTGTTGAATGTAGTAACCTTTGACCTTGACATTTTCAGATTGACATTGAAAAGCCATTGGAAGAACAGGGACCATTTGATATGATACTTCATAAGTTTACAGATATACTGGTGAAAGCACAGCAAGGATATATCACAGAACAAAGAATTATGAGAAATATAGAGGTATATAGTAACCATATACAGCATTTAATTTATCACTTAGCCTGCTGGCAATAAAAGATAGTACCCATGCAACCAGTACAGAAAAAGATCAGACGTAACAATTACATCAGTCCAGTCTAATCATGGTCTGCACTGTACGCTATCTAGCAGACAGTCCATATTTTGAAATTTCCCCTAAAGATGTTGAATAGCTTTGTCCAAATTGAAAAATGGATGAGTCTATTTAAGATATTTAGTATATTAGGTGTTAGTAGAATTTCTCTGAAGTCAGTGTCCTAGACAAACCAATAGTTTTGTCTTTTGTATTGCAATGTACATAATAGTAGGCCTGGAAGCTGTGATTCATTTGTTAGGTAGCAGACAATTAAACTAATTTATGACCTTTGCTTTGTATTGTCTTAGCACATACAGCAAATAAAGATGTGATTCTACATGTACATACATTTGTACTGTAATGTAGAAAAAGACAAATAGCAGATTTTGTGTGAAAATATCTCCCCATCTTGACAATGTGAAATTTAAACCAGTTTGCACCGAACTATCTGGAATGTACTACTAGTTATACAAAATTACAAATGTAATTGTTGACATAACTGACATAGTTTCATGGATACTGGAAGTAAACACTCTGATATATCAACCTTCTGACTTCTGAATTTGTTTATTTCTTTACAGTAGCACATAGAAACAGTGATAATGATGTTGGAAATCTATCAAAACACATTTTTTCCCCTTCTCAGGTCTTATTTTCTGTCCTGATTGAAGGACCAGACTCTGAGAACTGTTAAGAAGTTCTTTTCATTAATCTTCTTGCATTCAAGCAAACAGAATTTCTGCATTATCTATAAGGAGTGGAGATTTTCTGAAAATCTATGAAACTCTGTATTTGCCATTGATCTTAAATAGCAACAGAAAACAGTATGACTATAAGTATAGATATATCTACACTTTAGCTGTATCTGCTACAGTTACTGAAACTAGAAGAACACAAACAGCCATGATTCTTACAATGAAAACACAAGTAAATAATTAAATAAACAAGTATTATATCTGATAAGGAGTTCAATAATTGAACATAATAGTATCATAATTTATAGATGACTTCTTGACATTTCACGTTTGTGGAAATAGTTTCAAGTTCCAAATTTTACAAGTTACTATAAACTAACTTTTCATTGCAACATTGTTCGGACTTTTTCTTCAGAATTGCCTGGAATCCTCTACATGCCTTACCATGCTATAATTTGTGTAATGGACTTATCCTACATTGAATTTGGAACTGTCCATTATTAACAAGGGGAGCTTTGATATCAAAATGCTGAAATAAAGCAAGCCAATAGTGTAGAGTCTGGCTGGACTGCACAAACAGGCTAGTCTGGATATGTATCAACTAGGCAGATCATGTGATTAGAGTTTTTACCATTCACATTTCATATATAAATCAATATAATGGTTTGTCTAGCAGACATGTATCTTATAAGTAATATATAATGTATTGCACTTTTAAACAATATAATTATTGTTCCCATATTGAATGTAGAACATAGTGAAGAGTATTGGTAAAATTAATAATTACTTTATTGTTCTGTTACTAGACTAATTTATAAGTACATTTCGCATTTTAAAATATTCTAAATAATAGGAGTTTTAACTTTTATAATCCGCCATTTATTATTCACTGTCATTATTATAAATGATGCTTATGTTGTTTACTTAGACATAAAAAAATAGTCTGCGGTGGAATCGCAGAAAAGGCAAAATCTATCTCAGCGTACTGTAGTAAAATAAAAAAATCTGCTTGTAATAAACCGAAAGAGCTAGAGTTTAGATATATGGAATGAAACATGTTTTAGTGTATATCTACCAAATCTAATAGTTCAATGTATGATGGAAATAAAAGTTTGAAAATATTCTAAATTAATGGAGGTTTATAAAATTGCCATTTATTTAATGTTAAGAAAAGCAATTACAGTTTGAATCTTTATATCATGTAATCTTTAACTGATTAAAATGTAACTGATTAGAAATGATAAATCTAACACTTTACTATGATTATATCAAGCATGGAGTGATTAGACTCAGATAAAATGATAGTATAAGTACTTCATCATGTCAAGATACTGATACTACTATTACTATTATCATATATCCCTACTGTCAATATCATGACAACATTACTAGAGAGTTAATATCGGTCAAAAAAGGAATGCGATGTTTTGGTTTTGTTGTCATTCTAAAGAAGTTTAAATATATCCAAGCTTGCATTTTTCTAATTTTAATACCAAAATGATATTTATAAGATAATCTGTGCAGCTTTAAGAAACTGTTGAATCATTATTTTAATAAGACTATTAATCTGTTGAATTTAATACAGAAATCATTAGATTAAACAAGAAAAATGTTGACATATAATCAAATGTCAAGAAATCTGTATTGTTCCTTGAGTTGTTTTGATAATTTGTATTGAGAGAGATACTGGGTCAAATAGTAGTGAAGATTTGAAAGTCAATTGAAATTAAGCTATTTTGAGTAATGTCAAGGCAATAGTGCAATCAATAAAACTCAATAACTTTACAATATCAGTGGTAGAACATGCATTCTTAAAGTAAATTTTCTGTTGGTTGAGGGTTGTTTTTTTTTTCTTTTTTTTTTTTTGTATTCTGGTATTCATATCCTTGGCTACCAATGTTAATGTATTTATTCTTGTCTTATATTTTCAGGATTATATAGATAGTCATCCAGAGTGTATAGTTGTTGACCCACTGGATGGTATCCGTAAGCTTCTAGACAGACATGAACAATATAATCTTGTACTAGATTGCAATACTGTAAATACTGGTAAGTTATACCATGTCTAATGTTTAACCCTTCCACTGCTGGAACTGAAAATGATAAGCCTTTGCCACAAGTGTACCGCCAGGTCAGCCTGCAGATCCGTGCAGTCTCACATCCGTGCAATCTCACCCGGCTCTATACTGAAAGTTGACCAACTTAAATTTTTCATCTTGATTTACCCAAAAATGATAATGGACAGTTCCAAAATAGAAGCTGGACAAGTTCATTCAGGAAATTCAGCAGGTTAAGGATTTAATCTCATTGACTGCTTGTTTCATGAAAGAGAAAATTTATGGTCAAAAGAAAATTTATGGCCTAGACAGGGTGTTTTTGTCAGGTTTAGATTACAAAAATATGATAGAAATATGGAAATAATACTTGTATAGCTCTACATTTTGTGAAATATATATTAAACATGTGTCAGATTTTTCAAACATTTAAAATGATTTATTCTTGTGATGTCTCTTCATCAGAAAAAACCTAGACACAAACTTCACAAAGCTTGGTGACACACAAAAAAGTCTCCTTTCAAAAGGAAAAGAAAGAAAAAATAATAAGGTGGCCTGAAGCAACTGAGATTTCTTGCAATTCCTTGTGTCTTTTCTTTTTTGCCAACACTGAACCTTAAAAATAGTCTAGACTTCGAATGCAATTAGTTAAATACTTAAATCAATTTCTCTACAGTATTTTAAGCTTGATTGTATTGTGAAAGTGTTAATTTCTTGAATATATAGTGTGGATTGCCAATAAAATACAAAGCTGTTAAGATATAATACAGTTTTTACTGATATAGAAACATTATTCCTTATAAACAATGACATAAAGTTGGCCGAACATTAAACACAATTAATAATATCACAAAATGTTGGCAAGTGAGCTGCAATCTATCCTCATTACCTCTTCTCACAAACTTGTCTTTTTTTGTGTTCCTGCATGCAGCTGATTTTTGAGAAATTCTGGGGGGAAAAAACCCTTGTATCCTCTAATAATAAAAGTCTTTGTTTCTGAATGAAATATGTGTGGATCTGATACAATAAAGAATGTTTATTTTTGACAGAAAAATATTAGCCTGATTTTTTTTTAGATATAAATTTCATTTGAAAAGGTTTGAATATCACCCAGCTATCCATTTCATTACTTTGTAAATCAGAGATGTCAAATTTTATCAAAGATTTATATAGTTAGTTTATACAGGGCTTATTATTGCAGTAGTACTTCTGGTTTTAATGGAAAAGTTTGATTTATTTTATACAATGCATATAAGTAGAGTGCTTGATTGTTGCTATGTTCTTTTAAAAGGTTTGTTTAAGAGAAACTTAAACTCTATTTTCGGATGTGATATACGATGCAGTTATAAGATGAAGTAATTTAGTTACATTAAGTTGTACATGACGCGCATGTACCAAAAAATATACATAAATTGTGCTGATTTTTACATTGAAAAAATATTTTAGTGTGTTAGGTTTGAAAATAAAAAAAACCCAGAATTTTTTAAGTTTTGGGCATTTTTTTCAGTTTTTCCATTTGGTATTAAAATGTAACTTTAATTTTAAACTTTACTATATGTAAAAGTGATAGACAGCCTAGCCAGATCTAAGCAATGTAAGACTATGTACTGATTGCTGCATCTAATTTTACACACGCATGATACAGTATTAAACTATAATGATATATTTGATATATGATGCTCTATGTTCTATTCTATTCATGTACAAAGTGACCTTTTCATGGTAAAGTTTGCCTGCTAAGCTCAATAGGGAGAGCATCAGTTTTATAATCCAGGGATCGTTGGTTTGATTCTCAGGCAATGCAAATTTCACATTGACAATAATTGTTCCAGGACATAATTTCAAATGTTCATTTGTCTCTAGACGCTGGTTCAATAATCATGTGATTAGTATAGTCAAGTCTCTTAGATAGAAAATGATATTTACTGGTTACTTATCTAAGAAAGTTGGTAAGGTGGATTGACCAATGAAATATGACAAAATGTGTTACAATTGGTGTAAAAACCAGACCAACAAACTTCATCACCAAAGCAAGATGTTACATTACATTGTATTAATTAATTTTGTCCAGCATGTTCTGTGCTATGACATTTTAATACAATCCAATTAACATGTTAACTTGTATCTAAGAAAGGTATGAAAACTTGTTGCATGGAAGAAAAGGTCATACCTGCTCAATATGATGAATTTAAGAAATAATGTACTATCATTCTGTAAAATATAGAAAGATATTATTAAAAATTCTGTTAAATTCAATTTTATCTGAATAATGATCCTTGATTATTTGTCAATGATAATTAAATAGATCAAGTGGGAAATGTAATTTTAATCCTTAAAGAAATTTTATCATTTCCCTGGATCTGTATTAAATTATTTACCAGTAAAATTTGTTTCTACAGTCCTTTAATTTAATAAAAACTTTATAGGGTGTCTTTGGGTTTGATTCCTGCCAGAGTTGTTGAGTTCTTTCATTTTAAGGAAGCAATATAGCTTGCTTACTGGATTACTTTGGTACAATCTTGTTAAATAAATGTAAATATTACAGAAAAGGGCATCTGGCATACTTGTCCCCTATGTGACCTAAAATAAGGAAATAAAAAGGTTTATGTGGTCTATTTAACATTGACCTCATGATTCATCCTCAATTTAAGACACATTTTTCATGAACAATGACTTGCTTTGTAATTACCTAGAAAGAAACATGAGAAGGGATATCACTACAAAATGCATAAAAATTTATCAAAGTATAGTGTAGTGTTATGACAGATATCAAAACACTCCTGCAAGGACATTCCATGTCATAAATGATTTGTATACAATGAATGAATCATTTTGCCTGTACATTTGATTAGTTATTGTTTGCCAAAGAAATACTCTGTTTTGTTTTGAGTTGGACTTTCAGAAGAATAGTATGACTATCTTACTACATCAGAATTAACTTTCAATGATCAAGACCCATTTCTCTGAATTATTTCCTTTAGTAAAAAACCTCAACTTATTCATCTCTTAACTATTTTACTATCAGTCTATTTTACAGCTAATGTGGTACTTTATATACCCGGTAATGGTTATTTTTCCATGGGAAAATATTGAATTTGGATAAACCGCTGTCCTGCAAAATTAGTGACATTCTATCATACTCTGGGGAATTTGCAGAAACTTATTGTAAAATATTAAAGCAAAAGACAACAAGGATTCAAGGAAGAGTACCTGTGGCATTCATTGGACGCATCCCCCAACAAAACCTAGAAATATCATTTACCCCAACTTTCTACCATTGGGGAAATATTGCCGATAATGACTTCCAAAATTTTCGTTTTCCTGATAAAGTCTTGCTTTATAACATTTTGGCATATTAAGTCTATAATTATGAAATCAACTTGTGTAAGATCTATATCCTGTACTGGTGCCTGGGAAATATTTTCTGTTTTACTGTAATCACATCATTAATTGTTGTGTCAGATAATAAGATATGATAATACCATAAAAGAGATATAAGAGAAAGAAAGAAAACCACTTCTTTTATCTGGTGTCAGTATTTATGTTTTCCCATACAATTTTTTTTCGGAACTAGAGAATTTTATTGCTGTCCAAATCAAAATTTAAGACTATCCCAAGAGCTATCTATAGATACAAGTAATTTATTGTTTAAATTGAACATGAATGGCAGGGGAACCATTCAGGAACTGGAATTGATGAAATCCACTAAAATGTTAGTTTTTATGTTTGTTTTATTTCAGTATACTGGGATCCTACATATTACCGGACAAAATATGATGTTTTTTACATGTAACTTTTAATTAAAATAATAAAAAAGGAATGGAATTTGACCCAAATAATTTTGGGTTCTTAATACATGTAAACATTACTTTATCAAACATAAAATCAAACATTTGACCATAGAAATGTGTCTTTACAGTAGGGCATTATAAGATGGAAAAAATCGTGTAGACAACTCAATTTACCGGACATTTTGTTTCAAAATGTTTGGAAGTCGTGAATTAAAATTAATCTTCAAATAATCAGCAAGGAAACTACGACTATTGAAAGGCAAGGTTAAGACATTGAAAAAACCCAGTATGGCACTAGAAATAGACATGGCAGCCATGCCTGTTACGAAGAGGCCAATATAATTATAAGGTGTAATTGAAATTTACACTTTTAACTAAATTAACGTATTGATTCTTCATTATCCTTAAACGTATGAAACATTTTGATATTCAAATGGAATTCAGTTCGTCATACAGTTTCCTTTAAGTCATCGTGAAGCATGTAACACAAGCCATAAAATCTATTTTATTTACATTTCGTGTAGAGTTTCCTCCCATGGGCGTAACCCATTTCCTTATATGTTTTTAATTTGCATTTCTTTGTAAAGGACAACAACGAGATACTGTTTGGACTAAATTTCAAATTACTTTTTATCATTAAAATATGTTACGATTGTCTCCTGAGGTAACGTTGAGAAGAATTAAAAGTAAAACCTATCTTAAATAACCCATTAAGGGCCTCCATATTCGGGCCTGCGCAGAACAGATTATTCCCCCGCATGACCAGGTCATGAAATAACTAGTAAACAAAAGGGCATGTTAGTAGATAAAGAACTTAATCAACAATATTTACCTGAGAGTGGTTTTGTTGTTATTTACTTTGAAATAGAAAGTGTGTGTACGATTCAGTCTGTATGATTTTTTAATCGAAGCAAAAAATAAAGCACTATTCGGCAAGAATACCTTTTGTCCGGTAAACTGATTGTCCGGTAAATACATAGGATCCCAGTAGGGCAAGTTTGAGAGAATATTTGGGTCAAATACTGGCATGTTGTTGTTTATTAATTGATTCTTCTTTACCAGCTCTAACCAGTGTTTTCCAGGACTACTAGTGTAAAAACTGCAAAGTTTAATCCAAAAATCTCTTTAATAAGTGATTTTGGATGGATGATTTTAGACTTCATCAAAACATTTGCTTATATTGTTATGAAAAACCAATGTAACTAGATGCAAATTATTTGGTTTATATAGAATTTGTTTTAGTTTGATTCTGTAGGTTTTTTTTTCCGAATCTGTTCCAGGAACCAACCAGAGAGTGTAAAGTTTCTTGCTTAAGGAAACGACTTGCCCATGATAAGTTTGAACCCATGCGGCTAGCGATCATTAGATTTCTAGTCTGATGTATTAACCACTCAGCCATGCCACCACTTATTTGTTTACATTCCATCTTCTTGTGAAGCTGACAAGCTGTAGATCTACATCACTTAAAAGTTCACTTAATGAATTTACTCTTGAAATATTAAATAAAAAATCAAAACACATTCTAATGAAATGTTCAGAAAAAAATTAACATTTTCATATCCCCTAAATAGTTGTTATCTGTAACTCAGCAAATGTAGGTTGTTTCCAAGCTAATCCCCAGGTACAAACTTTTACTGTTAAAAGATTTGTCCAGCTGTTATGCTTATTTTTGAAAGTTGTATTGAACTTCAAAAGTTGGGGGGAAAAAAACAACCCAAAATATTCAGTTAGTCTATTGATAATAGACAGTTTCAAAACTCAATTTAAGAAATTTTTGCAGGGTAAGGGTTGAGGGTTTGTATGATGAGACATGGAAAATCATATAAGTCTGTGAGAATGAAAAGTCCTTTATGTACAATATTTGTTGAACATTTGAATGAGACAACCCTTGTGACCTTGGTCAGATTGGCTAGTTTTAAAACCCATGGTTTAAGACTGGATTTTAAAGCCTTTATAGTGTTGAAAATTATGCAATATTGATATCAAATAAAGTAAATTAAAATATTAAAATGTCAAACACAGTCTTACACAGAATGTAAATATTTGTATTAAGTTTAATAGTTTATAACTTTTTTTTAGACAAAAGTCTCACGATAGTTACAGAAGTATTGGCATTCAGTCAAATGTCGGTCATGTTAATCAATGCAATAACAACAAATATGGATTAAATAAATTTTGACCTTGTATATTTGTTGTAATCTAAAATGTGTCTTAGTTTGTTTGAAATAGAAATGCAGTTTTATGCCTGGTAGTCATCAGATGTGAAAAACCTGGGTTTCAAGTGCTTTGTCACTGCTCATTTTTTCCACCATCATTAAAACCATCATTGATGGTTTGTTTAAATGCAGCAAGTCTAACATCTAATTATTCCTCGTAGATGTTGGCAGGTACATAGTTCTTAGCTTTGTTCATAACTGTGTTCCTGGCTAAATATAATTATGCAGAACATAGTTATTTAGACATGAGATATACAGAACATTTCCTTCCTGACTTTGTTCAAAGCCTGCCTTTATTCAGCTTGTCTTTATGGTTTCATGGATTTAAAACTTGCCTTTTTTGCCTTAAGAGCTTGCTTTTAAGCCTGCTTTATGGATTCAAAGCATGGCTGAATTCATTGAGCATAACTTATAGGTCTAATGCCTACTTTATATGTTTGAAGCCTGTATTAATTTGTTCAAAGCCTGCCTTTTGTATTTTCAGAGCTTGCTTTTATGGATCCAAAGTAGATCAGATCAAAGCCTGCCTATATGTATTTAGAGCCTGCCTTTCTCTGTTGAAAGCCTGTTTTGATGGAAAACCTGTCTTGATGGGTTCAAACCTGTATATAGGCATGTCAATTCAGATAATATAAATGTGATTGATCAAGTTTTGTAAATAATATTTGGAACACTGGTCAGACTTACTAATTGTTGGTTTGAGTATATGTTTAACATGTACAGGTGTTAAGATATTCATTTAATATTATCACATTAAATTGGTAGTGTAATGATTTTACTGAGCACCTAGACAGAATTTCAGAATGTTGGAAACAAATTAATGTGCAAGTTTATCAGCAGTTTAAAGATAGAGTTGATAAATGATAATATAAAAGTGCATTTAAATTTATAAAGCAAATAATCATTTGATAATCTACAAGTATAAACATAGATAACATTCAATATTTGAATAATAGAATGAAAAAAATAACTGTTTATATTTAAAGTATACTGAAATGTTCTGTTGTATTTCTTTCTATACAGTATATGATCAAAAGAAAACAATACATGATTGATAGGTTTTTCTTCTGGTTTTGTGTCTACTAGGTATTGTGTATAAATAAGGTTTTAAACCAGTCAATTATAAAGTCTCACAGATATTGATCAATTGATTGGGTCATACACAAATTGTTAGAGCAAATTTCGTAACTGTAATTTTAAAGGCACATTAATGATTATGCCCTACAAACAAATGAATGTTTGTTTCTTTAGAAAGGGTAAACAGGAGTTTTGTAACATTTATGTAACAGTTTTAGAGCTGAAGAAAGTAGCACTGATTGTGAAATTATTTATAAAAAGTAGAAAAAATGTAAACAAAGTGGTATTTTGACTTCCATACAAAATCATTAATCTCTTAAACTATACTAATTGCAATATAAGGGCATAATGGGCCTTTAAAATGATTTTTGTTGAAGTTGGTCACAGCTTGGTTAAGTTATTTGTAGGTCATGTCAGGTTTAAATTTGTCAGGTTTGTTTTGAGGGTTTCATTAAACACAAAGATTGCCATTGCCTAATATGCTCCATACATGTATGTACAATGTATATCCATGTCTTCTGTGTTGTGTATAATCTTTCATGTAGCTGTTTAAGCAGATATAGTAAAATCATAAATAACTCAGTCCTGAAGTAATGCCAAGAAAGGCTTGTTGAAAATACATTCATTAGTCTGGGTAGAAATTTCACAAATCAAACATGATTGAAGGGTTCTGGTGCGTTGTTTATGTACACATTGTTTGGTAAGATTACTTTGAAAATCATTATATAGCTGATGACAAATTGATCTAGACGTATTGACTGAACTTGACTTAGTTGATTTTAATACAGCTGGACTGTGCTGTGCTGGGCTGTGCTGCTGTCTGCCTATGCCAGTTTTAATTTGTAACCTCGATGATCCTTTTGTCTCTATAAATTAAATGGGAGGACTGTATTGATTTATCCTGTACCCCTGTAACATAATGTGACAATGAATCCCAAATTCTGCTCAATCAGAATGATCAAATAAATAACATGTTCATAGTTGATCAGTATTTAGAACTCCATAAAAACTTTGATAATCATTTTTTTCCTAAAATTTTAGAATATGCATTGATAGATTGATAATGGTGTTAGATATTTTGTAAAATGTCTTTTCTTGTTGCTACTTAAGGGAAATTGACATGCTCTTTTGTAGACAGTCTGTCTATTACTTGGTTAATGTAAAGATAATCTGACTATGATATTGTTTATATCCCATTGAAAATAAGCTAAATTTAGTTTAGAACAGTTAAAGCTTTTGCATTAAATTTTGCTAAACATTATATGGCTGTAGGGGAGTGTGTGTGGGGGGGGGGGTGGGGGAGTGGGATGTTCCTTGCTTATTCAGGTATGGTAAAAAAAAATGTATTTGTTTGGTGGTGGGTGGGGGGAGGTAATGTCATATGTATTATTTTCATTATCTTCATTAAGCACTAATAGCTAATTCGTTTCTTGTATGTTATTGGCTGATTTGTTAAGTGCTGATTTGGCACAGTTTATATACCACATTTATCAACCCTGACCGCTGCCTTGGTTTAGTTTGCCAAACACTGACTTCCAAATGACTCTTGGTCAGTGTTTGTAGTGTTTATATAAGATGTTTAATATTTGCATTAGTTTTCATATTTTCTGGCATGTTTCTGAAATAGGTGACCTCTTGGTGACATTTGTTTTTCTTCGATTAACTCAGTATCTCAGTTTGCAATTGTAAATGCTTTCTGTTAAAATCACCGAATTTCAATATAAATTCAGATATTTGTATCCACTGATTATTATTGGTTGGGTTTTAAGTCAAACTAAAACAGTGACTTTTCAGCTTTATTGGTGACAGATGACTTCAGGTGCTCCTTACCACATTATTTCAGACACATTAGGGTGCATCTTAGTATAGAAACAGAACTGGATATCTTCCTCACATGAAAGAACCCTAGCAGGGTTTGAACTCACAGCTGTAAGGGGCAAGTGGTTATAAGTTAGCAACATGAACCTTTCAGCATCAGAGGACCCTAGACATCCATTGATTCTTGTATTTAGATGAATATGTTATACATATATTGTATTTCAGTTTGCAATGTTAAAATTTATAACTATTGGTTCCAGCTACGGTATATCAGAATTTGAACCTAAATGTAATATATCTCGCATTTATATTCTTTCATGTGAGGAACCTAGCCAGCTAGCTTATGGAATGTTAGTGGCTCAGGTCCCACAAGTGTTCATAGGGGGATTTGTGGTCTTCGTCCACTGGTCAAACTGCAAATTCACCATATGACATTATCCTGAGCTTCTATATTATATTATCAAATTTGGGGATATAAAATTTGAAATTGGTAAACCAAATGTAAAGAGATTGTCACACTTCAGGTTCCAGCAAGGTTAAAGATTTATGTGTCAATTTGTAATACGAAAGCATACTATAATACATGTATTATGTTTTGTATATTTTCAGAGTCATACATGTTCATACCAACTTTTGTGGATCTCACAAGTAAAGATGTTGATGAAAATAGAAAAAAACTGCTGGATGCAAATGTTCAGTACCCTTTTGGTAAGTGTTCAATTAGTTTAGATAGTTGATGAGGAAAAGGTGGATTACTGGCAACTAAGACCTACATACTTACCAGGAATGATGGGTCCAAGTCAATATCCAAGGCCCATAACTCTAACATGGATTCTGACAGAATCAGGGCCCTTTTATACTTAAAAAAATCTGCATTATCCAGGCTCTTAATAGTCAAGCATGCTGTCCTACGTACAGCTCTTGTTAATATCTCACATTCACAGTGTTCGCGTTTACTGAGTAAACATATCAATTTACTCGCTAAAATTGCCAGGGAGGAAAGAAAAAAAGGGCTGTTGAGTCCCTGGGACGAAACACTTTTTCCCCGATAATTGGTCAATTCTCTCTTAAGTTTTTTTGCTCTGCTTGAAAATGATTTTCTATTCACTTTAAATAAATTGTATTATAAGAACTTGACTTTCACCTCATTTTCATTTGTTCCTTTCTTATTAGCAATGCAGATTTATATCCCAAACGTAGACTAGGAGCAAGTGCTCGGCCTCGTTTTGGGCCAACCTATCAATGGTATCCGCGAACATCAACAGTCTCAAATTTGATTGTATTATGAAGTTATGCAAACATTGACATTTTTGTAATTGAGGACTCGTTCCATTTGAATTGGGACGTAACAGATCTATTAGCACTGAGTCCCAGGTACTCAGTAAAGTTAGGGAAAATCGCTAACACTGCATTCAGAGAATAAGTTGACCTTTTGAATATGATGATAATTCAAATATAGTTGATTTCTTTCAAATGTAAAAATTGATGTAATGCTTTGACATTTCTCTAGCCAGTAGCTCGCAGTGGATGGAAATTATTACATGGAAATTAAATACAATTTTAATCATAGATTTAATTAAACTTTTGTTCATGCCGCGCAGCAGTGGCAACAATTAATATGACCTTTTATTCAATCATTGAAATAATGACATATAAGCACTGAAATGGGGATACGGACAAAAGCCCCCCCCGGACGAAAGCCCCCCCCTTCTAAAAATGACAAGGTGGACAAAAGCCCCCCCATGAAATTTACACATAGGACAAAAGCCCCCCCCATAAAAAAGTAAAGGTAGGACAAAAGCCCCCCCCCATAGTCAATCAAATTTACATATAGTGTATTAAAGTTGTGTTTTTTATGTTCTAAAGATATGTATGGACATCACATGAAGGTGACAAAGGGCTAAGGATAGTAATTTGATCCCTTTGCAAAAAGTGATTAAACATTACTACTCTTCTGACCCTTGTTGTGTATATGAAAATCTATGAATTCGGTATCGCATGCATGCATTATTTAATCTGTTGTCATAAACTTTGTTATCACTCCAAATATACATTATAAATAAACATTAAAACAAATTCTTTTCATTTTAATTTAAAAGTTTGTGTGAAATTTGATGAATTTGAGCACCTGTGCGTGTGAAAAAGATGGGGGGCTTTTGTCCTACCTGTATTTTTGATGGGGGGGCTTTTGTCCTATTTGAAAATTTCATGGGGGGGCTTTTGTCCACCTTGTCATTTTTAGAAGGGGGGGCTTTCGTCCGGGGGGGCTTTTGTCCTACACTCACTGAAATGTTGTACAGAAATCTCGGCTTATAACAATAACATTTATAACAATGCTTTTGCATTAGTCCGAATTCTTGATCTTCCAAATAGTATGCCTCTCGTATAACAATCTTGATCTTCCAAATTGGTTGCCTCTCATATAACAATCTTGATCTTCCAAATTGGTTGCCTCTCATATAACAATCTTGATCTTCCAAATTGGTTGCCTCTTATATAACAATCCTGATCGTCCAAATTGGTTGCCTCTCATATACCGGTAACTAGCTTGATCTTCCAAATTGGTTGCCTCTCATAAAACGATCTTGATCTTCCAAATTGGTTGCCTCTCATAAAACGATCACTGATAACTGAAGTAATGCTGTTATGAAATATTAATCTATTTTTTGTTAGCTTAGCTTCTATATTGGAATATTACCTTTAATTCATTTCAAGAACTACAATTACAAATCATAAGCAGATAATTTTAAAACAAAAGATAATTTGATGAAATTTATTATGTTATACAAGTATTTGGGTTGGTAACAAATTTTTCGACTTATCAGGATAATTAGCAATTAAATATGAATAAAATTTTCATAATTTATATTAAAAGAACAAATATTACTTTATTAGACACCTTGTCTTTATGTTTTAATATGACTTTTACACAAATCGTTAATATCTCACTAAATTCCTTAAAATATGCTTTAAAATTAAGTTCAGAAAATTAGTATCTGTAAAATAAGGTCATAATAGGGGAAATAAATTTCTAGGAATTTGTGTGAAAATGATGAAATCTATAACCATTTTGTGGTGATTTATTTTTCAAAATGACTTGAAATAGCAGGAGTATTAAAACCACAGATATGTTATTATGGTGTCTGGACTGAGAATTTGATGTTCAGCAAATGTCATTAGAGAGATGTGAGGTGATATTACAACAACAGGAAACATTCATTGCCATGCTTTTGATTATATTCTGTGATAGCTCACCTGTTACATACAGGTGTGAGATTCCCACATGATGATTAGTCTTACATTATATGAGTCGTGTCACGACAAATCCAACATAATGGGTTTGCGACCAGCATGGATCCAGACCAGCCTGCGCATCCGCGCAGTCTGATCAGGATCCATGCTGTTCGCTTACCAACCTATCACAAGTAGAGAAACTGATAGCGAACAGCATGGATCCTGATCAGACTGCCATATGCGCAGGCTGGTCTGGATCCATGCTGGTCGCAAACACACTATGTTGGTTTTGTCGTGACATGGCTCATATATTTGTCTGCCATGTAGAGGATTCCTGACTCCTACTGACCTGTCAGATATCTTACATTTTGTGTATAGTAAATGGTTTGTCAGCAAATTGAAGTTGACAACTTCATCGCTATCTAACTAATGGTGTTATGAAATAGACATTCAGTATTTCTTTTAGCTTATTTTCTTATATTGGAGATAGATAGATACATGTTTAAAACTACATTTTCTTCTAATTACTAGCATTACTGATGGTGCATTATAAACAAAAAATATTTGATGAAAATTTTATTTATGTGTAATACAAGTATTTCTGGTATTCGTGTTAACACAAATATTCTTGACTTATCAGGAAACGTACAATTCAAATGTTGAAGATAAAATCATAATTTATATTCTCTGTACAAATGTATTACATTTTATTACACAGTCATTATTACTCTAATGTGTTTTGCAAACAAATCTGAAATGTCCTCACTACTTGCATAAAATATGTTTTTATACAAGTCAAGTACAGAAAATAGTCATGCTGTAAAAATTATGTATTGAATTTAAAATCGAAAATTTAATTTAAAGAATAGAAAACAAAACCATGGACCCCCCAGAAATCCAAGACAGTTTTGAGATTGGTTTGAATATTTAAATAGAATATTTAAATTCTACAAAAGAAATGCAGTTCGGTTTAAAAAAAAAGCATAAACTGATATTAATTAAATATTTTTTGACTCAAAATGTTTATAAAACAGTATGTGACATTCGGGTCATATTCCTCTCAGTACATGTGCATGGTTGAAAACTTATAATAGATGTCCATCTGAACATTATTTTCACAATCTACTGGTCAGGGACCATCAACCGGACACTAAATTTGAACATTTTTCTATACAAATTTCATAATTTTAAAGCTAGAGGTACGAAAATTTGATACAGTACAGCTAGGTTCTTCTCTTAACTAACAAACTAGTTTGTTTTTTTCTGATTATGTTGACACTTATATCCGAGGCCCGTTAAGGAGGGTATCAAAATTACCTAAATTGTACATACTACAGTACCATGTGTCCGGACAGATATGTAATAACGTTGATTTAATTCAGATAAAAGCTTTGGTGTTCTTTTTATATTTTTAACATGACACACAATATTTCAGCAGCAAATGCTAAAGTTTTGGATATTCTATTGTTTACTTTGCAAATAATTATTGCTGTTTTATGAGGTCAGGCATTGCTTTCTTGACCCCCAAATTTCAACGTCAACATTCTTGAAATAGACATTAAAATATTACCATTTACGGAGGTTGAAATAAATTTATTTACTTAATTATAGAAGAAACATGCATTTATTGTTGATTTAAAAGTGACTGACAACCACTGAACAAAGAAAATTCTAAATCAAGCATTTTCGGGGCCGTCCGGGTTTGGTGGTTGTCCGGTTTTGGTGGTCCCCAACCAGTAGTGATCTTTTAGATGACGTCATCCACCTACCATATAAGAGCTTGATTGTTTTCAATCTACATAGTATAATTATTACGGTGGCAAGGGTAAACAAACTTAAACACACGCTCTCTCTACATTGACCTCATGTCAAGTAACTTGACATCCCAACCCAACATCCCAAACAGGATTTGAACCTGATGATGGTAGCTTCTGGGGAAATTGATGCTAAGCCATTCACCCTTGCCACTTAACCATAAAGGCTCCTTTAAAATGTGAACCACTTAAAACAATAAGACAAAGCCACCTACTCTTACACCTACTTTTACAATTAATTATATCCTGGATTGAGAGGGTTAATTTTGCTGTTGTTGTGGTTATTTGATAGGGTATTTCCTAGAGAGATAACCACTGTACCATTAGTCAGTATGATTGAAAAATGCAACATGAGGTGTGATCAGTAATGAATGTGGGATAGGACAACCAAAAAATAACTACTGTAATCTGTATGATAAATGCATTGCCAGTCTTAAGTTATTTTACTTGAGTGCATTTTACAAATAAATTGATTTACTTGAAAATGCACATCCTAAATAAATGTTGATTTTTTTTAAATAAATTGATTTCCATGAAAAATATGCCTGTCCCTAAAATAATAACAAAGTAACTTAAAAGTACTGTCAGATGGAAGGCGATTTTCAAATTTTGAAAAACTATTTACTGACATTGTTTAATTTCCACTTGAATATGTTTAATTCGCAATTGAACAACCATTTGTGGGTGGGTGTGGGGGGAAATAGGTTGGAATAAAGTCCTTGATGCAACATCTTATGGTAACCATGCCATGATATGGTACTTTACTGATCAGGGGAAGTAACGGGTTGTCTCAATTGACGTTTGATTCAATTATAATGAGTATTGTAACATTTTCCAATAAAATACTCACTTTAATAGTGTTCTAGTATATTTTTGAAAAGACATTCAAGAGATTAATGTTTCTTCCTGTGTGAAAAGTTCTAGAATAAAATCTGACCAGAAGAGAAGTACAACATTTTCTGATGATATTTTTATATTAAATAATGCCATTCAAATTGCTTACAGTGATAAGAAAAAACAACAACATTGTTTAACATTCCTTAGGTAGTTTGAATTAAAAATAAGGATATAGCTATCAGCGATTTTTTCCCCTATTCTTAGAAAGAGACAGACATTATGGATATTTTGGCACTGATGAATAGGATGTTTGTTGCTAATCAAACAGTACAAAAAAAGCCACTATCCTGTGAAATAATAACTTTTGAATTTTGTGGTTTCAGCAAAAACTGGTTGTTTTATGGAATGCTGATTGTACATATTATTTGTACAGGATTACTTGAATTCTTATAAATTTGCTTTGATAATTTGGTCTTGATTCTTTCAAATCAGCCTTGATTCTTATAAATCGGTCTTGATTCTTACAGATTTGCTTTGATAAATTGGCCTTGATTATTTTAGATCGACCTTGATTCTTATAAATTGGCCTTGATTCATATGGATTTTCTTTGATAAATTGGTCTTGATTCTTTTAAATTGGCCTTGATTTTTATAAATTGGCCTTGATTCATATGGATTTTCTTTGATAGATTGGCCTTGATTCTTTTAAATTGGCCTTAATTTTTACAAATTGGTGCTGATTTATTTAATTTGGCCTTGATTCTTATAAATCGTCCTTTATCTTTCATAAATGATATATAACCTATCTGATTTTTTCATAAAGTCAAGAAAAACCGTTCAATGAAATTTACACAATAAGAATAGACATTTAATACAATATTTGAATGTATAAGAAACAAATTTTAACGAGGAAATAAAAACAAAATGCTGAGATAAAACAGGTGTTTATAGTGAAGATGCAGTCACGTTGTTTGTGTTGTTACCTTGATGATTTCACCAGATTGTTTAATGTTCACACAGGATTCTGTTGCATTGTTTAGTCTGGACTTAGACAAACAAAACTGCATATTTTAAATTCAAGACTTAGCCTGCCATACAGAAAAGTACATCATTCTCCATTTACCCTATGTTTACCCATTTAATATAAGTCGTGTAAGATCATAAATTTATGTTAATAACTTACAAAAAAATATTCTAAAGCTTTTGAAAACATGTAAGTAGTAATGTCAGTGTCTGATAAATGGAAAGAGATAGACCTTAGGATCATTGAACTTTTATTATGTGCAGGAAGATTATTTCCTATTGAGTAATTTCTGTTGGAGTGACATTTTGAACAATTTTTAGAGTGTGACAAATGTTAGTAACTAGATGTTATTTTGCTACATGGTCATTGAACTTGATAAATCTTAAACTTGAAGCGGTTTATATTAGTTATTTATCTCTCATCTTGCATACAAAATTTTATTGTTATTGTACATTTTCATGCTGGAGTAAGTTTGTCTGTTTGTATGTTGAATGGTCCACTTGTTCACACATGTGAAATCTAGTGAAGCTAAATATTGAACCTGCAGTTTATTATAGATTTTCTAGTTACTTGTGTACACTGTTTGCAGTGATATTGTTCATGTGTGTGAAGAAAATCAATTGAATTACTCCCCTTCATACAGAAGTTACGGCCCTTTGAATTTCTTTTCATTTAATCTTTTAAATCATTTCTTAATTGCACTCTTGTAAATTTCCATAACTTGAATTTGTAAGGATATTTTTTGAAATGTTTAGTATCAACTTGAAACTTCAAAGCTCAGTGTGAGAACTGTAACTCTCTTTTTGCATAGATTTATAGTTATTGCCCTTTGTGATTTTTCATAAGTAATTTTTTTAAGCATAACTTAAAAGTATTGGGGGTGTCACTTTGAAATGAATCGATTGTGCACAGTAGTAAAATGTATTTAATTAATTAGCCTAAAGTTTTTGTAAGACTCTCTTTCGTATGTAGATGGGTAAATTTGATTTCAGAAAATGAGGTGATACAGAGAGAAACAGGGACATTTTGATACAGTTTTCTACTTATGTACTAAAACTAATGGTTTGTCAGCAGATTGGCTTCTCATTTTATTGTATTGATTGTTTCAGAATTCTGAGGTGAATGTTTGATCAATGCTAATGGAGGACACTGATGTATTAATGAATCAGCAAATTTGTTTTTGTCCCTCTCCAATTGTTCTGTTGCCCATGAACACAAAATCAGAGTTTCTTGCAAAGATAGAAAGCAAACCATCTAACTATCAATTTGTATTCAATTACATGCAACATTTGTGGCTCTAATCTTAGCTGGCACTACAGTTATTAGAGATTGTCATTCTTTTTTCTCATGACAAATGGGCTATTTATGTGTTGAACTGCTAATTAAGTCCTTTCATAGATGTACCTATACGAATAAGTGAAAAAAGATCTTTATAAGTCTGACTGAAGTCAAGTCATACAGCAGGGTGGTCTTGCACAAAACGTGTGACATTAAAGCATACTGTGTGTTGACATTTACAGTAACTGTTAATGTTGGTCAATTGCTTATAACTTACATTTCCATGTTTAATTTTGTAATTATACATTAATTGCTAAAAATTAAAAATAATCAAAATATCAACATAGTCCTTCTTTGACAGAGCCTGACTACAGGTTGATTTAGAAAGTATTAACGAAGAACTATTGATTTTATTCACTTACTTGCCATGTCTGAGATTGAATCTTGTCAGGGATGTTGAATTCTGTCAGAGTAGGGAGATAATCTACAATCTTACAGAAGTTTGGTGCTCACACTCTAGAGTCTTGTCTTGTGCCTGAAAAAAATATCCTTTTTTGGTTTTATTCAAATCATTATGAGGCCAAATTTTGGCGGCATCCTGTCATAAATCAATGATAAAAACATCACCAAAATGTAGTATCATTATGTGATGCTTTTTTATTGCAGCCACTCAAATGTATTCTAATATTTTCTTGGTTCAGATAACTATACGTTATTCCACAGAGTAATGTGGTAGAGTATGTCAGTGGCAATATTTCTTTGAAATATATTCTAATATTTCCTTGGTTCAGAACAAATCTTGGGTTTACCATATAGTCCAGTTGAGTAGTATTTTGAATGGTGTCTTTTCAAACTTATGCAACTATTTCCACAATTGTTTACCATGTACTTTGGTGAGTGACTTTAAGGCATTCATAGCCTTCTAAACTTCAATTAATTTACATTACATAAGCTCACATTGCCAGTAACAATTTTCTTCTGTTAATTTACTGTAAAATTAACTGGAAAATTTCCTGGAAAAAAGGAAATCAAGAATGAATGGAGAAATAAAAAATATTGATTTACAACATAAATCATGAAAATAGAATGTGAGGGTATCACAAGTTTCTATCTGTGAGAGATTCTAACATAAAATAACATTAATGTGATCTTAGTGGTATCTGATATGCCTGTATCAATGTCACTTAAATAGTCACATACCTTAATGTAATTTGATGCTCTAAACTGAAATCTTTGTCAATTTTTTTTTTCTGTAAAGAGATTTAGTTTGATATTGTGAAGATGAAAGTGAAGGTCTTCTATTTTACTCAGCTTTTTCTTGCTTGTATTCTATTTTTTTCTGGGTTACACAATTTTTGTTGGTTTAAAGATGTATTATGTTCATTTTGAGTTGAACAACTATCTTTTAAGTTGTGTTTTTTAAGAATTTCACTAGTTGAAATATTGTTTGTAGTTTCTAGACTTGTCTAAAATTCGGGTCATGAATCATTCCTGGAAGCCATTGCATCTCAGACTAAGTGTTGAGCTGAGACAAATTTGAAATGTCATATTGGCCTAAAATATCACCAATGCTCTTGTAGGAGCTCTTCTGAGTGTGAATAGCCAAAAAAAACCATTAAATTTGAAATACTTGCATAGATCAACTGGGGCTCTTTAAGTGGAATCCGAAATAGTTGCAGAAGTTAAAGATAATAATAAAAATATATACACAGAATTGAATTGAAAAAATTGTATTTTTGTGCCATTTTTAGCCTGATTGAGGGAATGATCTGAAATTTTGCACACAAGTAATTTAACCCAAAACTACGTTAAACTGAACAGAAATCTTAAAAAAATTATTTTCTGTCTAGCTCTCACTTGAAAAAAGCTCATCAAATGAAATGTTGACCTATTTTCCAAAACACAAGCATGAACTATTAACATTCATGCTTTTATCAGGTAGCATGTTTTTAGTCCAGGACTGATTTTAGCTTTGAGGTTTATAGATTTATTTTATATTTTCAGTATGCAAACCTATTGTGGCTCATGGGACTCAAGATTGTCATAAAGTAAGTATATATGATAGATATATTTATTAAAATTTCAACTTATGACCTTTCAAAAACAACTTGCCCCTCACCGCTGTGGGTTCAAATCCTGCAAGGGACTTTGGATTCTTTCATGTGAAGAAACTATCCAGGTGGCTTCATAACATGGGTGGTTCAACTCATGCCTGTTTGTACCTAAAGTAATGCAAAAAGGGGAACCTGAAGTCTTCCTTCACCAATTAAGCTGGAAAGTCTCCATATGACCTATATGTTGGTGCAATTTAACCCCCCCCCCCCCCCCCAAAAAAAAAGAAAGAAGAAGAAAAAATGTGACGACCTATTTTTGCCTTGAGAGATGAACCAAAATCTAGATTATTTTTAGGGAAAAAAAATCATATTGTGGTGTATAATACAGCTTGATGATTTATTTCTTACAAAACAATGTTGCCCTGACAACAGATAATACTTGCTGCAAGGTCATAGTTATGCAGAGGTCAAGCCTGCAGAGCTCCAGATAGCGTGCGTATAAGCGTAAAATACGCATAGAAAATCTAAAATACGCATCACTTTCAAAATTCGTGCGTCACAGTTACGCACAACAAAATGAAAATACGCTCGTATGTCAAAACTTATGCGTAAAAGAATAGAAGTGTAAACATTTGATATGTAGAAAGAAAATGTTTTGAGCATAAAATACAATATATTTCCATTTAATTGCATTGAAAACTAAAAATTCTGTTGTCAACAACGCATGTTAACCCATTACTTCATATACACGCCTTTTAACGCCTTTTTCACCCCCCCCCCCCTTTTTGTTGTCTCAAATGATGAAAAAATGCCTTATTTAGACCCCAAACACTTGTGTTTGTTTGAGAAATGTTGTTAAAAAATTGACCTCTTTTTCGGCGCGGCCCCCCAACCAAAAGATACATCAGGGGGTTGCCAGAAGGGGGATGTGCCCCCTTCTGTTTTGGGGGGTTTGAAGGGGGGCGGAGTCCCCCTCATCGCCAAGAAAATTTTGGACTTGTGAGAGGCTGTAAATGACCCAGATTGATCATAAGGTAACGTGTAACCAACGCTGAAAAAGCATTTGACTCTATCTCAATCCATTGATAAGTTGCAGCACTTTGAAATCAATTTTGATGGAAAAAATCAACGCAAAATAGTGATTTTTGGCAATTTTGAGATGTCCCCTCGTTGCCATGGTAACAGAAAATTTAAGTCTGAGCATGTTGTTGCAAGGACAATGGTCCAGTCAACATTTGTGCCAAGTTTGATTAGTGTTGAAGCAGTTTTTATAGTATTATAGCAATTTGAACTTGTAACGGGAGACTTTTCAATGAAAACAGCCATTTTTCACAAAATGCTCATGAAGCAATGGGTTAATGAAAAAAATAAAAAAATCTACAAAACAACAATTTTTCTTCAAATTTATATGACAGGCCATGTTTAAACATGAAAAAACGCGATTTAGGGTAATTTCAAGTATTTTCATCATTTTCAGTTAACCCATTACTTCATATACACGCCTTTTAACGCCTTTTTCACCCCCCCCCCCTTTTTGTTGTCTCAAATGATGAAAAAATGCCTTATTTAGACCCCAAACACTTGTGTTTGTTTGAGAAATGTTGTTAAAAAATTGACCTCTTTTTCGGCGCGGCCCCCCAACCAAAAGATACATCAGGGGGTTGCCAGAAGGGGGATGTGCCCCCTTCTGTTTTGGGGGGTTTGAAGGGGGGCGGAGTCCCCCTCATCGCCAAGAAAATTTTGGACTTGTGAGAGGCTGTAAATGACCCCAGATTGATCATAAGGTAACGTGTAAACAACGCTGAAAAGCATTTGACTCTATCTCAATCCATTGATAAGTTGCAGCACTTTGAAATCAATTTTGATGGAAAAAATCAACGCAAAATAGTGATTTTTGGCAATTTTGAGATGTCCCCTCGTTGCCATGGTAACAGAAAATTTAAGTCTGAGCATGTTGTTGCAAGGACAATGGTCCAGTCAACATTTGTGCCAAGTTTGATTAGTGTTGAAGCAGTTTTTATAGTATTATAGCAATTTGAACTTGTAACGGGAGACTTTTCAATGAAAACAGCCATTTTTCACAAAATGCTCATGAAGCAATGGGTTAAAAACGAAAGTAGCAGGAAATACAGAAGGGAGGTAACTCCCGTAGATCTATCAACCTGTGAAATTATTGATGAAATTTGTGCCAGATAATCATCGTAGGAGTTAACACAGTATTAAGTTAGTTTAGGCATCTATTGACATACTCAATATACATTTGTGTAACCAAAAATATATTTTAATTTCTTTAACTTTAGTTGTTGGAACAAAATAACATGTTATTCACCTGCAGTTTTGTACTCAATATTTTCGTACCCAGTCTACAGTTACGGACAATTTTCTCTCAGACAAATAATTTTTTTTAAGGAAAGATAAAAAAAATCTTGTTTATGTTTGTAATTGTAAAGGTTTTTCTAAAAAAAGAAAATAAACAAACAAACAAACACAACAATAAGTTTAATTTGTTTATAAAAAATGCAAAATGCTTTTTTGACAGATTTTTACCCCTTAAGTTTTTCAGAATTTGCATTTTACCCCTCACTCTAAATTTTGAGGGGTAAAAACCCCTTGGCCAAAAAAATTATCTGGAGCTCTGCAAGGGCATAAATATCATCAACTGATCAACAGTTTTTTTTTCTGAAAGAACGAAAATGTATACAGTCTGTATGTATGACACATAAAATGTTGTTAACTAAGAACCAAACTTTCTAGGAATGCTTAAAGCATTCTGCCAGTCTTATAAATCACAAATTATTGTTGATACCACAACAGATAATGTCTTTCGTGATTGTCTGTTTGTTTATGGCGAAGAAACTGTTATATCAGCAGATATTTTATTCTACTGCTGTTAATGTTATATTACATTGATGTGTGGTTTGAGTCCTCTCCACACTTGCTCCTTTTGCTGCAATTTGAAATACTGTTAGAATGACTGAATTGTATGTGAAGGAACTATCTAGCTCAGTAGCATTGTTGTAGTATTCAATTATTGTACATCAATGGTTCAAATTTGATATACATATATGTGTATACGTATATCCACCTGCTGAATTTAGTCGATTTTCCCTGCTTTGAATTTTGAAACATTTCATTTCAATATCAAAATACTATTGTTGTGCCTTCAACAGGATAAAACCTGGTAAGATTGAACTGTGATGCCCTTTAAGGAATGATATGTAGTAGATGCCCTTAAGGAATGATAATTGGGAGGCATCTTTGAAAAATAACATTTAGGAAATGTCCTTGAATAATGGTATTTATAAATATACCCTGGAGGAATGATATTTAGGAAATGCCCTTTTAGGAATGTTATTTAGGAAAAGCCCTTTTAGGAATGATATTAAGGAAAAGCCCTTGATGAAAGATATTTAGGAAAAGTCCTTGAGGAATGACATTTAAGAGTGCCCTTGGAGACTGATGATTAGGAAATGCCTTTGAAGAATCATATTTAGGGAGTGTCCATTTAAGAAATTATACTTGATTTAGATTAAACTTAATTAATAACACTATAAATAATGTGACATGTGACTACTAAGTGATTTAATATCACGAAATTAGCCGCATCATGACAAAACCAACATAATGGTCCGCGCAGTCTGATCAGGATCCATGCTGTTCGCTTTCAGTTTTGCTACTTGTAATAGGGTTTGTAAGCGAACAGCATGGATCCTGATGCGCAGGCTGGTCTGGATCCATGCTGGTCGCAAATCCATTATGTTGGTTTTGTCATGGCGCGGCTCAAATAAGGATTGTTTTATCTTCAGATGGCTGTGATATTTAGTGAGGAAGGTTTGAAGGACATAACACCACCTTGTGTAGCTCAGACATTCGTCAACCATAATGCACTACTGTATAAAATTTTCAAGATCGGCAGCAAACAATATATAGGTCATCGTCCTTCGCTGAAAAATCTTTACGCTGGTGGTATGTATCTTTATGTATATTGTAACATGAAAAATGTAATACCAGTACTCTGTGAAAGGCTTTAATCAGGTGTTGGGTGTTAGTTTTAAATTTAGTAACACCTTCACATTTTGAGTCGCAGGATTTCTGCTTTTCCTTCCAAAAATGAAAATAAGAGTTTTTGTTGATTAATACTCAGATATAGAGCAAAATGTATTCAGTCATGTTTTTAATTTTCAAGTTGAGACTCACTTAGTACTGGTATTAAATTTTTCATTTATTTTTTTTTTATCTTTGTTCTGTAAGGTTGCATGCTTATAATTATTCTCTGCATTAGTGAATGACTTTGTCTTTATATAGGTTAGCCGTTAGGATAATACATGTATGTATGTATATAACATGAAAGCTTCCAAGGTGGGTACTTTTTCCTTTTTTTTACAATAAATAAGTAAAACTGATAGCCAGATTATTTAAAATTACTGTTAACAATTGATTTAGGGAATAAAGATTTTATTTCGCAATTGTTAATTTTACTGTTTAAATCAACTCTAACCATGTTATTGTTCTGTAAATAAGTGCTGATATGTGTTTACTAATGATAGGGAATTTTCTATTAAAGCTTTTATTTTGCATTATTTTCTCCCCTTAATTTGTGAACAGACATACTAACTGTCTATATATGCTTGATTCTATGTTTCATTGCAGACCACCCTACCATATTTTTTGACACACATGAAGTTTGTAAAAGCGATTCCTCACATCACTTGACCAAGGTAAAGTCAGACGCAAAACAACGCTTTTTGTTTTGTGAATAGTTATTGTATATCTTCTTTTCCTACTCCACTGTTACACCATGTGATATTTGGCTGATTGACCAGGTGAAACATTACACATGATATTGTATGATTTGCTGTTACATTTTCAGTTAGGTTACTTTGTTAAGAAAATGAAATGTTATTCAAGCTATATGCGTAAATGTTACTGCCAAGGAATAAAACCTTGATTGACTTTAGATTCTTCACTACTAAATTAGTTCTTAATGAGCTACCTGTGCCTACAATAAAACAATAATTGGCACAGGGTGCGGAAATGAGAGGCATATTCAAACAGTATACATCCATGCCAATCAGAACTTCTGTAAAGTCTCATCAAACTTTGTATACAAAATAAATTATCAATGAATTGTTACAAATACAAAGTGAAACAAGTCATTGGAATAAAAAAGATAAGAAAAATGCTGATGTTTTGCTGTGTATTTTATGCATGTCATATTTTATCAGTGTGTAATGTTTCTGTCCCCATAAGTGCCATAGATTTCATTTCTTTGATTAAACTTATTTGCACGAATTTTTTACCACACAAAATTTGTACAATGTATTGACATTGATGAAATTACAAAAAAAAAGAGATGCAAATATGCAAATTGTTTGGCTTTGCATTATCGAGGCGATACAAAAGAAATGAAATATATTGCACTTGATAGGTATTAGGAATTGTTAAGTTTTAGGTTAAGTTTAGGTTAACTTGAACCTTTTTAAGTATATAAAGTTATGGTTAACATTTTTCTTGTCACTGTGCCTTTGAGGTCATAGCAATATGGTACATAGGCAGTATATATATATTGGTAAATATTTAATTTATCACAATGAAAATAGATAAAATATTAAAATCTTATTTTTGTGTTATATATGTAGATTCTTGTCACTAATTAAACAAATATATTTTAAAAAGTAATGTTTATTATGATCTGCCTTCTATGGATTGGTATGGCCTTAAAACTCTTTATTTATATTTTATATTATGTATCACAATTTTGACAAGAAATATGTGCTATTGCTATATTTATTTAAAAAGGTTCACTGATAAAATAGTAGAATTGTGTTACCATGGTTATATCTATATATTTACAGCTAGACTATGAGGATCAGGATTGCTCCCCACTCAAACCTAACCTCGCCCAGCTGAACGCACTCAGTGAGACCCTAAGACAGAAGCTCGGACTTGACCTGTTTGGCGTGGATGTTATAATAGAATGTGATACACAGAGATATGCTGTCATTGACATCAATGTCTTTCCAAGTAAGATGTTTATTTCATAAATAACACATAGGCATTAGCCGAGGGTGACATTATTTTTTAAGAGGGATGATATTTTTGCTGTTACTCACAAACCTATGTGTTACTTATTTTATTATTCCGAACAAATACTTCAATCGGACACTAAGTTTTTATCCATTAAAAAAGGGATCAAACTTGCTCGGAGGGTTATAAAAAGGTAATTCAATAAACACATATGCCTTAGTAATAACAATGGGGGTCAGCGGTCAAATTATAGTGTGTAATCTGGATGTGAGTATTTATGTTTTTAACATACATCATGGTTTGTCATTCCCAGATTTTAAAATAACTTGATAAAAGTATTTACCATCATGATTGGCAAGACCCATTATTGTAGTTCCAAGGTCAAGGTCACATTTAGAGGTTAAAAGTAAAACAATTGGTTGTATTTATGATATCCCAACTATAACTTTATCAGTTCTGCCATTTCTTGGATTCTGGAATTACTTGGCAGAAATGTTAATCATTATGAGGCTGTGTTGTGTGCTAGATCTGGTATGTAGGTTCAAGGCCTTGTTCTCGGTCAGTGGTCAAAGGTTTAAAATGAGACTTGCCAATAGACCATGATGCAGTTTTGAAAAGATTTGGTGCAGATGGTTGTTATAGTAAGAAGTCATTTATCATGCATGTCAAGTTGCTAATGTAAAGGTGAAGGTCACAGTATATTCACATTATGTCTGTCACTCAACACTTTGTTGTTAGGTTCTATTTCTGAAAATACAAGTAAAAACTGAAATATAAGGACGATTGTGCAAAATGAAAAGATTTTTATATGTAGTTTTCATAACCGTAGTGTAGTTTTGATGATAACAGTGTATTTTTTTATGCTTTTGTGTGTCATTACTAATGGCTCCTCTTTAAACATTTTTCTTACAAACTCAATTGTGTAACAAAAAGATGCAAGACACATGAGTAAAAATCAGACTATTGTTTTGAATTAATAACCACTGGCTTTCAAACAAATAAACAGAATGCTCTAGACTTCAGAGCAAAAAAAATAATTCACAGACTGTGACAGACATAATTGTTAGTTAGTGGGCTGTTATAAGCAAGTATACACCAATAAAACCTTTTATAAAAAGTTAAAAGCATCTTAAATTGAATGTTGTTATTTACCTTTTAGGCTATGATGAAGTAGACAACTTTTTTTGTGATTTGTTGGACCATCTTCTGTTCTTGTTGAACAAGCAACAGGACAAACATTCCATCATCTCCCAGACAACCACTTCCCAGCATGCCTTACTCAAACAGACTGGTCGCTCAAGCTCTCTTGATTCTTGCTCAGAACGGATAGCCACAAAACGGCTTAAGACTGTGGACCAGTCGAAAGAAAGAGAATGTGACTGTGATAGTGTAACTTTCCCAAGGGCAGTGTGTAGATATGACTCAAACTGTTGCAAGCATAAACAGGAAGTAATGTCACAGCAGGAGCGCAGAAATCAAAGAAATTCTGCTGGGAAGACGTCTGCAAGTCGTATTTTAGACGATATGTGATTGTTAAGTTTTAAAAGTTGTTAAAGCAGGGAAAATAATGTCATGTTAAGATTTGTACAGATATTTATACCAGTCATAAGCTTTTTAGCAAGTTATGGAATTATGCAATTGTTATATAAAACCTGCGTTACCGGTAAATTGTTTTTAGGTTACTGGACTTCAGACCACCTTAGAATAGGCCTACATGTAATTTTATGATAGTTTTTATTTTCATGTGACAAAACAGTTCAGCATTATATAATTTAGTCAGTTACGTAATGGCATCTACTTAGATTATATTACTTTTCAATCCAATATCACAGCTATTGTGACACTATCTAGTGGCATTGCTCTTAAAATTTATCAATAAACGAGACTAAATAGTATTTCTATTTAAAGGGACTCCACTGAGGTTTTTAGACATGGAAATATTTTTCTGAAATTTGTTAACCATTTGTTTAAATCTGAACCATTAACTTTCTGGCAAGATCATTCCCACACCCCATCTTTCCAGAATTATTTTGAAAATGAAAAGTGTTTAACGATATTCACTCAAATTGGGCTAAAAAAATGCACTATCGATTTTAATTAAATTTTGTGTATATTTCTTTACTTCCATGTGCAGATTTTTCCATTTATAGTGCTTAACTTGATCTTTTTGAAAATTCAGATTTTATATTTTTAGAAAAAAGCCCTCAGTGGAGCTTCTTTAAGTATATAGCCGTGGCTTTTTTTTATATTTATCAAATATTTTTCAAATATTTTTAACGAAGAAAAAGTTTTATCTGTCTTTTTGCCAAAATTTATAACCATGGTCTTAAAATTATCTAATTGGTCTTTACTAGAAGTTATGAAGAAGTCACTTAACTGCTGAATTGTATGAAATATATTTTTGTACTCATACCTATTACATTCTGTATATATTGTATATTGAACCTTTTTAATTTTTTTCTTTTGTATATAAATATATATATATATATGTTGGTGTTTTGAAGACTGTGATTTTTTTATAGTATCTTTGTATTCTTTGGATAATGGGGAGTGCTTATATTTCTTCACTTTGTTATTGAATAGAAGTGTGTCTATGCATAAAGCGTGTGCTTTCATCATTTTCAAATAAAAAAAACAATTAGAAGAGTTTTTAAGTAATTGCTCGGTATATTTTAAAAACTTATCAGTATTTTTTAAAGAACTTTGATATTTAATGCAACAATCTCTCTATCCAATGAGGTTTCATGGCAATACTGTCAGTATTCTATGAGGATTTTAATGCAACATTCTATTTTCTATGAGATTTTATGGCAACATTCTATTTTCTATGAGATTTTATGGCAACATTCTGTTTTCTATGAGGTTTTATGGCAACATTCTGTTTTCTATGAGGTTTTATGGCAACATTCTGTTTTCTATGAGGTTTTATGGCAACATTCTGTTTTCTATGAGGTTTTATGGCAACATTCTGTTTTCTATGAGATTTTATGGCAACATTCTGTTTTCTATGAGGTTTTAATGCAAAATTCTATTTTTCTATAACGTTTTATGGCAATTTTTTCAGTATTTATTCTATGAAGACTTTAATGCAACATTCTAGATTAATCATAAAAGGTTTGAATGCAACACATGGTATTTTTATGTTTTACGGAACAAAGGAAAAACAGTTTTGCCTTAACATGATTATAATAGTTGGTTATGAAAAACATGTATTGACCAAGAATAAAATACTAGTAGATGTAATATTAGCATTTTTATCCTTAAATATTTCATATCATTGACAAAGAATCTGTATTCATATATATTCTACATATTTTGCTGAATTTACTACTTATGAAACGTCTTACAACACAGAAAATTATTGATAAAAGGTCATGGCGTTTCTTTCCTTAATATTATTCAAAATTAATTTATGATGACAAATTATTTCCCTTGTCAATTTTGTGTCTATGTTGCTCACTTGGTCTTTAAGAGCTGTTACATATAAGTGTATTTTAAGACATATCCAATTAGTTACTTGATTTTAATTCACTTTTATTTGTAGCTAAAAACAGACTCTCTGTATTTCTTATTTTAAAAGCAACAATTTATTAGCTCGACTATTCGCAGAATAATCGAGCTAATGCAGTCACCCATTTGTCGGCGTCGGCGTCCCTGTGGTTAAGTTTTTGTATGTAAGCTGGTATCTCTATAACTACTGAAGGGAATGGATTGAAACTTCACACACTTGTTCTCTGTGATTATCTTAGATGATTGGCACAAGTCCCATAACTCTGATTGCTTTTTTTTCATAATTATGCCCCTTTTTCGACTTAGAAATTCTTGGTTAAGTTTTTGTATGTAAGCTGGTATATCCTTAACTACTGAAGGGAATGGATTGAAACTTCACACACTTGTTCTCTGTGATTATCTAAGATGATTGGCACAAGTCCCATAACTCTGATTTGCTTTTTTTCATAATTATGCCCCTTTTTCGACTTAGAAATTCTTGGTTAAGTTTTTGTATGTAAGCTGGTATCTCCTTAACTACTGAAGGGAATGGATTGAAACTTCACACACTTGTTCTCTGTGATTATCTAAGATGATTGGCACAAGTCCCATAACTCTGGTTTGCTTTTTTTCATAATTATGCCCCTTTTTCGACTTAGAAATTCTTGGTTAAGTTTTTGTATGTAAGCTGGTATCTCCATAACTACTGAAGGGAATTGATTGAAACTTCACACACTTGTTCTCTGTGATTATATAAGATGATTAGCACAAGTCCCATAACTCTGATTTGCTTTTTTACATAATTGTGCCCCTTTTTCGACTTAGAAATTCTTGGTTAAGTTTTTGCGTGTAAGCTGGTATCTCCATAACTACTGAAGGGAATGGATTGAAACTTCACACACTTGTTCTCTGTGATTATCTAAGATAATTGGCACAAGTCCTATAACTCTGATTTGCTTTTTTACATAATAATGCCCCTTTTTCGACTTAGAAATTCTTGGTTAAGTTTTTGCATGTAAGCTGGTATCTCCATAACTACTGAAGGGAATTGAATGAAACTTCACACACTTGTTCTCTGTGATTATCTAAGATGATTGGCACAAGTCCCATAACTCTAATTTGCTTTTTAACATAATTATGCCCCTTTTTCGACTCAGAAATTCTTGGTTAAGTTTTTGCGTGTAAGCTGGTATCTCCATTACTACTAGAGGGAATGGATTGAAACTTCACACACTTGGTCTCTGTGATTATCTAAGATGATTGGTACAAGTCCCATTACTCTGATTTGCTTTTTTGCATAATTATGCCCCTTTTTCGACTCATGAATTCTTGGTTAAGTTTTTGCATGTAAGCTTGTATCTCCATAACTACTGAAGGGAATGTATTGAAACTTGAAGAGTTTGTACCTTTTCGGACAATTTTATGTATTCATATATGTAAGCATTATTATACTCAATGAAACACCCTTGTGACAAATTTACGAATAGTCGAGCGTTACTGTCCTCCGACAGTTCTTGTTGAAATTACAATCTGGTTTTTTATCCTGCTAAAAAAGGTGGATTTTATAAAGCTATTTTAATAAATGTCTGGGAAAGAGAACTTTAATTTTGATTTTAGTGTTCAGTAAGTGACTCGCCTTTCTGATAAATTAGTTGTGAAGTAGGAGTAGTTCAAATTTTGAATATTAGTAAATTGTGCAGTTGAACAGGGTTATGCAATAAATAAAAAGTTTCAAAGTCAATAAACAGCAGCTCCATCAAAATTTTATTCTGTAAGGTTTCTTTTTACAATAATTTTATTTAGCTGTGGCAGTTATACAATACAAAATCATTTGATTTACCATGAATGACCACTAGTGAATATCTATAGTATATACATGTATATATGTGAAAATTATTATTCTTTTTGAATCAATATGGATGGATACTTTGCAAGTTGAGAATTATCAAAATATCAGTTCTCCGAATGTTGTACATGCAGCAAGTATGTTTCAAATCTTATTTTTCATTCTGGTCTCCTCATAAGATTGTGGCATTAGGAAAATAAGTTGTAGAAAAGTTGCAGAAAAATTTACCGAATGGTAAAATATAATACTATTGTATATTTGAAGATGAGTTATAAATGGCTTGTTTTGTTGTGTGTTTAACAATGCATGTGTTACACATATTTTTATGCAGAATAAATGTTCTTTGAATGTAAACCCATTAAAAGTTTAAAGTTTTGTATAAATCTGATCCTTACTGTATAATCCTAAGTTTTCAACATCATGTAGAAATATATTTTCAGTTAGCACAACTCTTATTGTTATAGAACTGGCTTTATTAATCTAGGTTTTAGTTTCCTTTAAATCAAATCTGTAGAGTTACTTATGTGAAATTCTTGGCAAACTTATTGTGTTGGACATACAGCTTTTTAAAACCTTCCATGATTTGATTATCTGTTCATTTACTTGGTTTTGCTTAGAATTCTGACCATCAGAATGAATTTCTTGTTACTATAGATCATTATTTTTTTACCAGTTTCATCATTATACACCTGTACCTTTTCTGTTTCTTTTATGCAAGCAATACCAGCTGTGCTGTGAAATATAAGCAATAAATAGTAAAACATTGAACATTTTGTTTTGTTTATAAATTAATCTGTCTATAAAACAACACTGTCTGTTAGGTTTTTTTTGTTTTTCTTGATAAAATCTTGTAGTTGTTTTAATTTGATATATTATTCTGAATAAATTCTATAGCAGTTAGTTTTAACATCAATACATTTACTAAAATGTTTATGTTAATTTTCATTTATTTTTAGCTCAGTTGAGCATTAATTGCTCAAGATGAGCTTTTATGATCGCCCTGTGTCCGATATTCATTGTCAACATTCGAAAATTGCATTTTGCTATGCTGGATCAATAAATCAGTAAAAACTGTTTTTGACTTATTAAAATTGGTTAATAAGTTTTAATCAACAGGGGGGTTGCCTCTTTTCCCACAGAATACTGCTGGATAATTTATGTATCATCCAGTAGAAGATCAAGCTCATTTCCTTAACCTCTTTTACTCAGGTGAGTGATCTAGGGCCATCATAGGCCCTCTCATTTTTTTTGTGTAAAACCAAATGTTGTTGTCTGCTGTGTTGGTTTTTGATTTCTATATTATGCTGAAATCCATTGATCAAAATTTTTGAATGTTTGTTTGTTTTTGTAAGAGGTGTAAATGATGTTAAAATAATTTTGTACATTCCAGGTAGAAAAATACATTTTTTTTATGTAAATCTGCTGTGTTGGTTTTGAATCCATTGATAAATTTTTGAATGTTTGTTTGTTTTATAAATAAATGATGTTTAATTTTGTACATTCCAGGTAGAAAAATACATTTTTTTTATAAAAAAATACCTACTCTGAATCGAAATACTAAACTCTTAATTTGAAATATGCAAAACAAATTCATTAAATTCTCATTGAAGGCATAACCTAAATTTTGTATGGCTAAAATCAGGTCACAGGTTACATTTACAAGCTAAAGATAGACATATGTTGCTATTACACAAAATCTAAAATTAGACAATAGTATTCCACGGATAATAATCATATATTGTTTATACAAAAATTAATATTGTACAATCGTGTAATATTTCTGAGAATAGAATAAATTACATTTAAAAGGGACAATGTTGTTGTTTTCTGGAATTCAGAACTAATGTATTAATATGAACTTGTTCTTCATTTTTTTTGTTATTTTACGTGTGTAGAATATCATTTGCAATGAATTTCAGGAAAATGTTATAAAGCAACAAAATCATGGCAAAATTGAAGTTCCTAGCAAAAAGTTATTGTCATTGACAACATCAAGAGCTGTTAAAACTGTTTCCTAAAATTACTTTATTTGACAAATGGTAATTCTTTGATAATAAATATGCTCAGATTCCAGTGTGTCAATGTTTACTTTAGAAGGTAGTTTTAACCATTAATCTGCTAAATTTGTAGAATGGACTTGACCTGCTTTGAATTTTTGAAACAGTCTATTCAAAGTCAAATGAATTTCAACATAAAAAAAACAGGGGAAAAATTGAGCTACCAACAATGTAGAGCTTGATCAGACTGCATAAATGTTAAGGCTGGCCATGCTCTATAATGGTGGCAAAAGCTAGTTTTATTTCCCACAGGTTAAGGGGGCGTTGACGACCAGGTGGTTAAGGTTGTGAGGAAGCTTTCCGGCTAGCTTACGTAACATCGATGGTTCTACTTAGGTGCCTGCTTGTGCCTGATGTACAGAGGAGCACCTGAGGTCTTCCTCCACTAGTAAAGCTGGAAACTTGCCACATGACCTATACTGTGTTGGTGTGACATTAAATCCAAACCCAACCCAGCAACAGGTTAATGGTTGAAAAAATTTGTTTAATAAATGGTTTAATACCTAAAGTATCTATCAGTGACAGATATATGTTCAGGCTAAGCAATACAGCATCAAAATATCTGGTAAGTGGTCATCTACCTCAAGCATATTTTGTAATACAGATTGTTTGTAGATCATTATCATACAATACCATAATTCATGCTGCATGCTAAATTTTAAAATGTTGTAAGATTGGGTATTTTTCTTCTATTTTTACTCATTTTTTGATTATTTGAATAGAAAACAATTGTTCTTCATTTTTGAAAAAATTGAGAATTTTTTTTTTTAGAGGAAGTATTATGGGAAAATGTTTGATATTAGTCCCTGAGTAATTGATTATGTAATGTTGGTCTTGTGTGAAATGCAATGAGCTGTATGCAGGCTGTTGTCCCATTCATGGATGAAACTTTGTGTCAGATTTGTCTTGCAGAGACTGTCAGTATCAAATACAAAATCTGAGCAGCTAACGTTATAGTCTCGGCAAATTATGCTCACTGGCTCGGCTGAAATCTGTTGGAAAAATCAGAATCATTTGTAGCATTTTCGAGTTATCTTGTTTTATTTTTCAAATTGCAATATATGTAAATGGCATCTAATTTTATTGGTGTACTATATGTATCAATTACTTTAAAAATGTCAGATGTTTTGTTTTTTTGCACCAATGAAATGTGATAATCGATTAAATCTAAGACACAAATTTTTTTACAGCGATTTTCTGATTCTTAAATAAAATTCTGATTAATTTACATTAACTGAATTGGTTGATGAAATCCTAGAGTTAGTCCCCAATAATGTCAATGGACTTCCAATATTTCATTCACATTATGACATTTTTCATCATTTCTTGAGTTCACTGAACAGTTCGCAAAAATTTGATTATTTCATGGACAGCCTATTTTAACAGTATCTATTTTTAAATGGAGAAACAGGCTTTTAAAAATATTTTTTATTTAAATGCCAAGGTTTAAATCTAGAATACATTTAAAGATAATAGTTGATTTCTAAATTAGGACAGTAATAATTATGTTTTGGTCCTCCTTTAGATTATATACAATGTATATTACTTTGTGGAGTCACTAGGCAGCTACTTTTACTACTAATTATAGTCAAAGTATCATGATGTACATGAATAAGTCAGTTGTGTCAAATCAAAGGGTAAATGTTTTGGATTTTATGTGGAAAATTATGAAGTTCTGAGATGGAAAAAAGTAAGGCATTAAAATGTTGACCTTGTATGTCTGATGCTGATTATCATGAATGTGTATTTCAGAAGGTTACCTAGATATAAAAACAGCTTGATGCTGTTCAGTGAGGCTAAATTTACTGGTCAAATCTTGAATGTCACTTACGGACTAACACTTGTCACAACAATTTGTTCTGAAAAGAAGTTTAACAATTGATGTTTGAAAATCTGCTATTGACTATCATGAGCTTATAGTAATAACAAAAATCACAGTTGTGTTTGAAAGGGAGGAAATATCATTCATACTAGAATTCAAAAGTGCTTCCATTTTTTATGAGACCCTTTTTTGAGGATTACATAGCTAAATCAATATATCACTTTATATAGTCATAATATTAGGGACTTGAGTTTTTTTTTTTTTCTTTTATATTTTTTTTTTAGATTTCTTTTTCTTTTTTTTTATACATGGGTGTAAATGTTAACCTTTAAACTGTGTAAGTCTCTGACAATGTGTAAGGTTTTATTTGTATACTTTTTATTTTGATAAGATACTGTAGTCTAATTGTTAAGTCTGGAATGATGTAGGCTTTGATGAATTAAAAGAAAAATATCTCTTTAAATGTTGTTGTTTTCTTGTTATTGAAATATGCAGCTGAGGAAGTAGACAGTACTCTATGTATGAAAGGTGAAGGTCATCAAGTGACACAAACATACTTCTTGTAGGATGTGTTATTAACACAACACCTGTGTGTCTTTAAGAGCACTAATGTCCTGATTCTGTAATTATTAAGTTAGTATGAAATTCCCTGAATACTGAACATTTAACCTTGAAGGTCATCACTGAGGGGTGATGGTCATACTTCAATATGTCAAAATAAATGTGCCAAATTGAAGCAAAAAGTCAAAATGAAACAAAATGTAAAAGTGGGGCAAAATCTGTAGGTCCATAACAACCGAGTAAAAAAGGGGCAGAATGATAAAATCTGTAGGTACATAACAACCGATATGTCCAAGAATTAAGGCTAAATCAACCACACTAAATATCTCGAATGGATTTGACCATCTTTCAATATGGGCAAAACCATACATCAAATTTAGAAAAAAAAAATAATAATGACTTAATTGTGAACAATCCAGACCATGATCAGAAGGCACATCCCATGCCAGCTAATTTTTGTTTGCTCTAGTTGCATGTGTAGAATCTGTTTGTTACCGCCAGATGGCTAAAGGTTAATGTAACAAAAAAAAACAATGAAGATCCTTTGATTCTTCAGTTTTAAAACTTGTAATAAAAATGTTGTTAATAGAACAAATTATAACAATAAAAAACAATGGAAAAGAACTATGAATGTTGATTTTTCACATCTTTAACAATAAGGTCCCCTGTTGAACATGAATAATAATAATCAGCACATTATGAAAATGGTTACATACAATGTTATTGTCAAATAAATAAGAACACTGATTATTCATGATCTATATGAAGAGATTCCTTGATTGAGATCACTCTATTATTACAGAACAATTTCTGTTTTTAAAGGAGGCAAATATTGTTCAAGAACAAAATACTATTCTTCACAAGTCAAGCTGATAGATCAAGATTTAAATGGCACTTTCGTTCAAGCTGAAAAATTTGATTTGAATATTTACAAGATTTTAAAATGTATGTTTAATGTAGTCAATCTTGCTCTTGTAATATATTTATATTTTAATGAGGGCTATCTATCATTACTTATAATAATGTACATATAAAATGTCTTCCCTCTAAATTAACCTCCTTATGATACATTATGGCACATTGCATACATGTAGATCAACCATATATATAATGTTTTTCAAACAATAGCACAATTCAAATGAAGTGAGATCACCTACTTATAAATGACAAAAAAAAACAACCTTTGACCGATATTATTTTGTGTCCCTTTCACCCAGTCAGTAACTTACTAAAACGCTTTAAGCAATATAATTTTGTGTCCCTTTCACAAAGTACAATGTAACTTAATAAAAACTTTAAGCAAAGTTAACTTATGACTCCATTTTCTCAGGTTTCTTGAAATCTTATAAATGACCTATTAAGATAACAAAACCAATGTTCCAGTTCTCTGTACATGCAGACACAGAATTAAAGTCATCTTCTCATAATGTCACAGAATTTCTCAATAGCTTTCATTGCATCAGCTGCCCGTGTTATTGTCCCAAACGACACTGTATGTACATACAGTCCTTCTATACCAGTATGGTAATTTACTGACGGGTTCAGTCTCCAACCCTTTACTACATGTTGCATACATTTCAAATATAACCCTATAATATTCCTTGCCTTTTAACCTAGTGGAAAATTAAAAATTTTGGGAGAGCCCACAATTATAAATTTTTTCACTGTGAAAAATCCCCATATTGTTTTTCGTTTGAGGGTTTTTCGTAACCGACAAGGGATGGTCATTAAAGGCGACGTTTCCAAATTTTTCAAAATGGAAAAAGACCTCAGGGGCCCTTTTTGGAAATTTCAGGCCCCAAAAAAGGGAAAAATGATTAAAAACCACAAAAAGTTTCCCTAACCTAGTTGGGTAGCTTTCCCCACATTTAAAAAAAACAAAAAACCCTGCTAGGGTTTTAAAACCCCCAGGGTGAGTGGGAAAATGGTTTCACAATTTTTAAAAACAAGGGGAAAAAAAAATTTAAAATGGACATTTAAAATTAAACTGTTTAAAGAAAAAAAAAATAAATTTTTTAACTTTAAATGGGATGAAAATCATTTTCAATATTGTACTGTGGATATTACCGGCCCTTTTTAAAAGGGTTTTTTGGGAGACCTTAAAATGTTTTTTAAAGTCCGGGTTGGGTTTTAAAACAACCCAAAACCTTTTATGAAAATTATCAAGTTTAATTCGAAAACTGCATCAAACAATGGCAGGAAATTACCCGTTATTTTCCCTGAAACATGTAAGACTGGTCATCAATAAATCATCGTCTATTTTAATAAAATATGTTATGTACATATTCTACACAACATTTACTGTCAATGGCTTGAAGTTAAACTTTTAAGTTTTGTTTAGTTCATAAAAACATGTTACTTTAATCATCACAAATCATCTAAACTTGGTAGTTTTTTTAAATCAATTTTTTAAACTGCTTTGTTCAATATACATGTATACATGTAATTATTATTATTAAGTTCTGCTCTGTAATACATACTGCTATATATCTATAACATTTAACATTTTGTTGTTGTTGAAGTAAAATATACAAGTTTTTTGTTATTAATGCTAATAAAGTAAAATGTAGAAGAAGAATAACAAGCACACCTTACTTATATGTTGCAGATCACCATATTTATACAATACATGACCATGTCTGGACAGAAGGAGGGATCCACTCACAACTCCACTATTTATTAAACTCTCTGAAATGACAATACAATTACTGAAAGAGATTCTATAAATAATGTAATTAAACTTTCGTTAATTTACTAATATCATATTATATATGCGAGGGTTTTACAGTAAGGGTGAAAAAGGCTTTACTTGTATTGATGTAAATGTTCATAGGTTAGTTTTGTTCTAAATCCTTGAGGTGTCTTTTTAAGAAAACATACATGTATACATTTGTCACTTCATGATTATGAACAATGTATTCGAAACCTTTCAAGACTGTCTGACAAAGTGTTCAATGAAAATTTGAACTATTTTGAATGGTTTTTAAAAATAAATAAGAGACAGTTTAGATGACCATACACAGGATGAAAAAGGTCCTGATGTTAAATGCAACAATGACTTACACTCAGATAGCATGGGTATACAATTTAACTCTGACAAATTGTCATTAGTATCCAACTTTATTTGTCATCCAATGGAAACGCTGTATTTCTTAAAAATTTTGTGGGTTTAATTTTTTATAGACGAAAAAAAAGTGATACTACATTTAATTTATGTCCGTTCATTTGTCGGGTTTCCCATTTTTTATAGAAAATTTATAGAACCCCACCCGGACGTAATAAAGGGGAAAAAAAAAAGAGGGCCCAAAAAAGGCTTGACACTATACATAGAAAAGTCTCAAAACTATGAGTATGATACAATGCTTAATTTAATGCATTTCTTTTTGAAACAGAGGTAGTAGTCAGTCATCTGGTAGTGCTAATTTAAAGCACAAATTTAGCAAATAATGCTAATTTATTGCATTACTTTTCAAAGTTATTCGCCCCATATCAGACCACTAGTTTACAATAATATTAATGACGCTGTGTTTAATTGTGATATTTTCACAGAGCTACATGGATATATGTATACTGGATGAGTCTCTGATATTTTTACCAAAGCAACATGAAATATTATTAGAACTTGTTAGGATGAAGATTGAAGTCTGTAACCTTGTATGAAATTTTCAAATGCCGGAGAAGCCATAATGACATGGAGCTTTATATGACAATACTCTGATAATGATATTTTGTGTAAAATAAATATAAGAAGATTGGCAAGTTGTTGATAATCAACAAACGCTTTTCTGGAGCGCCCATCCACTCAGATCAATGTCATTAACAAAAGCTGTCATTTCCGTCATGCTACCGTACAGTCAAGAAATATATTTTTTTTCTAAGGATTTTATTACATACTGTTATTAGAAAGAAATAATTTGTAAGTGGTTTGTAGGTTTATTTTGTCATTTTATCACAGATATATAAACAATATATTTAGCTCCATGATTTTATTATTGCAATTAGAATTTAGATTGACGATTTTGTTTCCTGAATTATTATATTTAAAACTACTTGAAACGCATTGAATTGTTAGAAAAACGAAGAACAATGCATAAAGCTATGCTAGTGGGCGTGAGAAATGATGCACTTTTATATAATCTATTATGAACAGCAACAATCAAACCGATTCTGCAATTTTATATATAGATATTACAGTTTTCACAGCTTCAAAGGATCACCCAACTTTCAGATTTTTATAGGTAGTAAAAGTGCATGTCAAAAATTTAAGTGTTTTGTGTTAAAGTAAAAACTTGAACAATGGATATTATCAGAATAGTAAAGGACTATGAAACAATTCAAACAATTGTTAAATTATTCATTCATTATAAGTAAAAGTGGATAAAAGATAAGAAGTTAAAACACAAATTGTTTACTAATATCCACTAGTATCTTATCCACAACTTGCTTGAATTGGTCAATATAAGGCAAAGTGAGGTGAGGTGAGGTGAGTGAGTGTGAATGGCTTTTTTTAAAAGCCCAAATCAATCTTTTTTTACAATTCTGTGAAAGAAAGCATTAACACAACATATGCATGCATGTTGTCCAAAGGCAGTGGTTATATCAGATGTTTTATCATTGCATAGGTATTAGGCCTACATTGGCAATGATAAGCATATGACCATGATGAGCATATATGAAACAGATTTTTTTTCACAAAATATCGACAAGGATCGATAAACCTTTTTTTTCATTCAACAGATATTAATTGCGTGTAAAATTAACTAGAGATGTATATAACATCTATGTCTCTGAATTAACTGATGAAATGATGTCATTGAATGAAAACTATTTACATTAAGTTTTAGGATTTGCCTAAAATACGAAAGTGACTTTTTTGGCGAAAGTGAGCGAAAGCGAAAGTGACTTTTGAAATATGAATTATAGCGTTTTAATAGAATTTTACAATAAAGTTGCAGGTTGTAGACGTATATTTTTCAGAAATTGTTTATATTTATTATCGAAAATAATCATTATGATGATTTAATCGCTATTTATTTGCATTATTTCTATACACAAGTTCTGAGGGTAATAGGACATTTCGGACCATGGATGTTTCGGACCAGACATTTCGGACCAGATTTTGGGACACTTCGGACCATATTTAGAGACATTTCGGACCAGATTTTTGGACATTTCGGACCATGTGTTGGACATTTCGGATCATGCGTTAGACACTTCGGACCATTGTTTTGGATATTTTGGGCCATGTGTTGGACATTTGGATCATGTGTTAGACACTTCGGACCATTATTTTGGACGTTTCGGACCAGAATGAATATTTCTTTATATGATATGCATCAATTATTCTATAAAGTGTAACTTTAGAATATATGAGACACGTACCATGGAACGATTTTACGCCTATCCCGATTTAGATTTAATATATTTTGCACTATAAATGAAGAAAATTAAAAAAACAAAAACAAAAAAAAACAACGTTTTAATGACACGTTTGCAAAAATTTACTATAAAGTATATACAAAAAGACATTTTTATATTGCAGTCTGGACATCATTTTTTTTTACAATTATAATCAGTTTGTTTATTGTTAATTAAAACTGTACTTTAATCGCATTCCAATCAAATCCAATCAATTAAATATTTGTTGTCAAATTAGGTGAAAATTGCATACATTTGCTTCTTTAATTGAGTGAAACGTAACTTAAACGAGTTTTATTCAGCAATTAAAACGTGTGAAAAACTGCATTGACAAGGATGTCGTTGTTCTTTAATAGTTACGTGACGTGACATGGGGTGTAGACACGAAATTTCGAGCAGTAAAATTTTGGAATAAAACTTGATTTAAAGCATAGTTAAATTTAAAAATAAGTGACAGAAATATTATTTGAGTGACATATAGGATTAATACTTGATGCCTCCGAAGATAAATAGTGATAAAACGAACTCAGAGTGGAAGAAAAAGTTATATTTTTTATAAGGTTATGATTTTTGAAAAAGGCAGTAGACATACAAATTATGATTTTTACCTTTATGATACTCTACTAGAAAATGTTACTTCTTTTAAATATTTAGGCGTATATTTTTTCAAAAATGCAAATTGGAATAGAACCCAAAAATGTATTGCAGAACATGCATCTAAATCTTTACATAAATTATTTTCAATTTTGATAAGTACGATTTTTCTACTAGTGAAAAAAGTAAATTGTTTGATTCGCTAGTTGCTACTGTACTAAACTACTGTTCAGAAGTCTGGGGAATAAATGCAGGAACAGATATAGAACTTATTCATACAAAATTCTGTCGAAAACTTTTATATGTTAATAAATCAACTAATACTACTGGTCTCTACGGAGAATTAGGGAGAGTTCCTATGATTATTTTTAGAAAAATAAATATGATAAGATATTGGATCCATTTACTGAAATCAGACAACTCTTTGCAAAAACAAATTTATATCATGCTTAAGAATGATGCCAATAATAATATAACATACAATAATTCAAATTGGGCCTTTCATATAAAAACAATGTTAAACAATCTAGGACTTTCAAATATATGGATAAATCAAGATAATGGAAATTTTACATTTTTAGAAATTAAACAAAGGATATTAGATAATTATTATCAAGTTTGGTATGCAAACATAAACAATTCACAACGTTTACTTACTTACTGTAGGTTTAAACAATCTTTTAACTTTGAAACATATTTAAATTCAATAAGTGAAAGGAAATTTCGGATTGCCTTAAGTAGATTTAGATTATCTTCGCATAATTTAGAAATAGAAAGAGGTAGATATCTTAATATAGAACGAACTAATAGAATATGTAAATTTTGCAACCAAGATAATATAATTGAAGATGAGTATCATTTTCTTCTTGTCTGCCCAATATATCGAGAAATAAGGAAAAAATACTTCAAACCATATTTTTGTAGGTGGCCAACTCTTAATAAATTCGATAGACTGATGTCCACAGATAATGAAAGACAATTGTTAAACTTATCAAAATATATATTTTTTTCAAATAAATTAAGGAATAGTTTAGAAATTTGATAATTATTATATTGGTATCGATTTAAATTTACCTATGTCAAACTAGTTTATTTATTGTGTAAGCTTCTCTATGCAGAAAATATTTGATTGCTAATGATTTCTCGTGTCATTTGTCACCTTATGTCAAATGTATATTATGGCTAAAAGCATTGTAATGCTTAATTGCTAAATAAATGTTGTTGTTGTTGTTGTTGTTGTAATACCTGCTAAAACACGATTTAATTTGGTTAAAATTGACTTTAAATAGGTATATTCTGCGTGTGTATGTGTGTGTACTTTTTGTAGATGTACATATTATCAAATAGTTGATTAAACAGGTACGTATATCAATTTCAATTCTTTTAGATAAATTAAACATAGCGTATCATTATCTTTATATATATATATCTTTTTGTATGAAGGACATTCGCATAAATATATCCTACGCTTACCAATATAGTTCTAAAGATATTCTGTTATAATAAATATTGTTTTTTTTTTTAAATCAATATTAAAAAATTGTCATTTGGTAATATAAGCTTGTCAGAAAATGTGAAAATCTCGTCGGACATCCTGAAATAACAAATAATTACATATAAAAAGGAATATATGTGCTGGTCCGAATTTCTGAGATCTTCCTTTCACTTACATTGAAAAATACGAAAGTCACTTATAAATTTTTACTAATAATGCACTAAGCAGACATATATTATAAGAGAAAATGCATAGATATTAAATCATCATAATGATTCTTTTTAAATATACAATTTATTCATTTTTGAAACTATGCGTCTACAAACTGTTATAATATACAGTATTCATATAAATTCAAATTAATGGTATATTTAATATTTTATAAGTCACTTTCGTATTTTAGGCTACCGTTAAGTTTTATACTGGTAATATATTTTTAAACCCCATTTAAAATTATAGATCCCTATCGTATACTAACATTTAAAATACACATATATTTATGTATTTTTGGGCTTTGTTGCATCGGTCATATCACTATACCGGATAAAAGAACGGTCCAGTTGCAACAGGTTTTATCACCACCAGAAAAAAAAGATGGCCGCGTCAACTGGTAAGAGAAAATTTTACGATTTAATTAGTGTTATTTTTAGTTTTTGAAGAAGCGTTTACGATAAAAAATGAGATTAATGTAGTTTAAAGTCCAATTTTTGTTGTCAATTTTCAATTATGATGCACTAAAGAAGTGGAAGCTTACTTGAAGGTGTTGAAATTTTTTTTTTGACAATTTACAGATTTAGTCAGAGAAAATCGGCAAGTGAACTGGATTTTTTTCCAGTCTACATTATACACAGTGATTTACTAAAATTATAGTTACGGAATGAGCCTACTATACACGTACTATATGTATGTATGCATATAGTCTATGATTAATGAGGATCCGTCTGCCAAGGAACAGAGGAAGGCACAAAAAAGCAGCTTTCAAAGTACGGACCACGGACATGTCACCAGTCACCAGGGCTTATTTTCACAGGTTGGGGAAGTAGCCCAGCCGTTATTTTTGTGAAAAAATTACACGGTATCAGGGTTCCCGCTGTCGCTCGCCAATGGCGCCAAATGCGACAATATATTAATTCTGGCGCATAAAATCTTTAATTGGCGAATTTAACTGGCGCCAACGTAAGATAAAAGCATCCGACAACTAGTACACTTAAATGTCATAAGCGGCCGCGTCAATTACATAAGCGGCCCAAATGTAAAAGGTCACGCGCTATTAGTTTGTTTATTTAACTGTATAATCCGGGTACCGTATAATCAATTATGTCATCAATTGTGTGACACTTCGGGAACATGTGAAGATGAAAGTGTCAATGTGTTAAATGGAACAATTTACGTCTTTCATTCTCTGACATGTGTAGTCAACAGGTGTTAGTAGCGAACAGAGAAGTGAAAGATCGTCCGTGATGTTGACAAACATTGAACTTTCGGTAAGTTGACTCGTCAACTGATTAAAAATAATTACAGTTTGAATATTAAATCGGATGACAATTAAAAGAATAATTTCACCAATGATTGATCTAAATTCACTGTATTGCAATGTTAATATTTTCATATCTGAATGTAAAGTGCTGAAGTGTCAATTCACATGCAAACCCTATTAAAATAAACAATATTTTTCATTGTTAAAAATATTTAGTATCTATTTCATTTTTTGTTCTCCTTGATTTTTAGATGAAGTCAATTTATAGTAATGTTGTTTTTTTTTTATTTTGTATCTGTAGATCACCAGATTGTCGGGTAGAGGCTGGGAAAGATCTTGGCTCAGTCCAGCCTGTGAGAAGAACTGCTATACTGGCAAAATGGTTGATAACAGGACCTCCCATGACTAACTTAACATGATGTTTTTGATAACATTTCAGGGCTTTTTTTCACAGATTGGGGAAGCAGCCCAGCCCTTAATTTTGGGGAAAAATTACTTAGTATATTTGCAAAAGGGGACGAAAAAACTTAATGCAAATTCAATTTTTGGGGAAAACTGCATGATTTTAAAGAATTTTTCTTTGGGGAAGCAGCCCTATACCTGTCCCTGCTATAGAAGGAAAAAAAGCCCTGCATTTATGCCGTCATATGTATTTGTTTAAATGGAATTTGAAAACCACATAATAGTATGTCTATATTTTAGAAAATAAACCTGTGCAGCTGTAATAAAATGAAATATAAATATGTGTTTGTAATCATAATGATATATAACTGCTAGCATATCTTAGCGAAGATAGGCATGTCTCCCTTGCAGAATTATTGGCTCCAACTTTGGAGCCATTGGCTCCAACTTTTTCTGATTGGCGAATTTGGTGGCGCAAACTAATTTTGACCCAGAGGGAACCCTGGGTATACAAACAAAAGGGGAAGAAAAAACTTATGAAAATTTAATTTTCGGGAAAACTGCATGATTTTAAAGATTTTTCTTTGGGGAAGTAGCCCTATACCGGCCCCAGCTATAAACAGGGCCTTTCACCCTTCTTTGCTGTAGCCGGTATTCGGCTTCTTCCCCAAGCCAACATACTACCTTTTTTCCCCAAAAAACAGTCTAAAATTCCCCTACTTGCGAAGATTTTCCCTTCCAGATCAAAGAAAAAAACTTGTAAACAAACTTTCTTGCATAAAAAAAGATCATTGTTTTTGTCCAATGAAAGCTAATTATTCAATTACCCGCTAGAGGGATACCTTGATTCAATACAATTGATGTTTACTCACAGCCTCGGGCTGAAAGCAACATGGGAAAACCCCGCTGCACACGTGATTTTTTTACGACAATACAGCGACCGATTTACGATGTCGCAAATGTAAACAATGTCACAGAACCAGACGATTGAGTGACATTTGTAATTGTTTATGAAAAATTGGACAAATTGTTGACCTTCCTGTAAGTCCAAGAGAATCCAATACATGTATCCACTCGCAAGTTCATGTGTCCGAGTAGCACAACATGCCCAAGTGTGGGAAAAAGCGAGTCTAGCACAACAGTTCCAGTAATAGTGATACGGTGGGAACTGATAATAATGTTCCCTCTGAATCAAATCAAGAACCCTCACATGTCCTACGTAAATTTTCTATAATTAGGAAAGATGAGTCAATGTATTCTTGGGCAAATATAAAGTGGCAATAAATTGATCTGTAAAAAAATCCCTTTAATAATTACTTATGTTGGGCAGAAAGCTCCTGAAATAAGTGTGTTTTGAGGAAAATATGCAAATATATTATGATATTTCCCCCAAATGTGTGATTTAAATAAGTCTTTATTTATAGTAATAATGGTTAAACTGCCAGTGGAAAATATGATTTTTTTCCCCAAAAGTATGAAAACCGCGCATTTTTTCCCCACAAAAAGGGCTAGGGCGCCTTCCCCAAAACTAGTGAAAAGGCCCTGATAAAAGAAAAAAAAGCCCTGCAGTCTTGCCTTTACAGGTTTAATTTTGAGGCACAAAGTGGTGATAATTTATGTCCATGCAATTTCCATAGAGTATTAGCCAAAGATATCAATTTTGAGCCAAAAGAAGGTCACTTTACGATTGTCAACAAGAACCTAAATGTACAGTAACCTGAGACAATAATGAAAGGAAGTAGCCCTTATTAGGGCTGTTGGTGCCAAGCAAAAGACCTGGCCTCCGTTTCATGGAGAGTCCTAAGTTAATCCTAAATCCTAGGACTTATGACCAACTTTAGGAGAAAAAGTTTTTGCATTTAAGGCGGCCCCATTTAAGACAGTTTCAAGTAACTGTCCTATCTTTTGTCTTAAACTTAAGACTCATGACCAATTAGCTCTCCTGAAAAAAGTTACAAAATACAATGGCACGCGCATAATCCCGGATTGGATTTACTATGAAATTAATTATAGCAAGTGTAAAAAGTAATGTATTGTCCTCTTATCATGTTGAGTGAAAATATATACCATATTTCAAGAAAAACGATAAAATAACCGTTTTATTTAATTTCATACAAGTAAAAAATGGTTACGAACCCCCTTGCTTGTTAAGCAACTGCAATTGTACAGCGCGCTGTAATATTATTATTTATAGATGCGTCTTGTTTTGCACGCGATATTTGGCGCTACATTATGATGTCACGTAAACAACTCTTTAAACGTCTGTACAGCGTTAATGACTGAATTAAAGATATTGGTGATAAGATTTATTTTCTTAGTTAGACCATTATCTATTATTCTAGATAGTTTTCAAAACAAAATTCAACAAAAAGTTGTTTGATTTTGGAGTGGTTTTGACTTAGGACAATCTTATGATACCTTTAAAACACTCCTAGACTTAGGACTGTTTTTGGTCATAAGTATAGGAGTCATAAGTTAGGACCTTTTTAACCTTTTACCCCATGAGCATATTGCGAAAAATGGCCGTTTTCATTGAAAAGCCTCCTGTAACAAGTTCAAACTGCTATGAAACTATGAAAAAATGCTTCAATACTGATGAAACTTGGCACAAATGTTGACTACACCATAGCCTCTGTAACAGCCTGCTCAATCGTAAATTTCCTGTTACCATGGCAACAGGGGGACGCCTCAAAATTGCCAAAAATCACTATTTTGCATTGTTTTTTTCCATCAAAACTGATTTCAAAGTGCTGCAACTTCTCAATGAATTGAGATAGAGTAAAAGGCTTTTCAGCATCGGTTACTAGTTACGCTAAGATCGACCTGAGGCCATTTTTAGCCTGTCACATGTCCAAAATTTTCTTGGAGATTTTCTCGACTCCTCCCCCCTTCAAACCCCCCAAACAGTAGGGGGCACATCCCCATTCTGGCAACCCCCTGATGTAACATTTGGATGGGGGATGGCGCCGAAAAAGTGGTCACTTTTTTTAACAACATTTCTCAAACGAAAACCAGTGTTTGGGGCCTAAATAGGGCATTTTTTCACTGTTTGAGGCCTCAAGGGGGGGGGGGGGCAAAAAGCCGTCGAAACACGCTTATATGAGGGAAAAGGTTAAGACTTTCTTTGAAACGCAAAATTGTCACAATTTTTATCTTAAGACAAACTTAAGACTTAGGACTCTCCATGAAACGCAGCCCTGTCTTACAAGCTGTCTATCTGTGCTAGGGGCTTAAACACCTTAGCACACCATCCTCATAGTCTCTGCCTACATCGTAGGACCACTCCCCTTGGCATTAGTCAGGATATTGGCGGCTGGCGGGCAGTTAAAGTTCTAGACTTTGCTTATTTTTTGCCATCCCAAGTTCTTCAAATCTTCTGCCAATGACCTGTGCCCTCTCAGCAATGTGCACACTCTGTGGGGAAGTGAGAAGACATCATGTACTACTGTCTAGACACAAGATTGAAACAAGGTTAACGCAGACTTATTGACCTGTCAGTAGACCTACATACATGTACATACTTACTTCTTGAATTCAGGTTTAAAGCAAGACTTTGCATCAGATTTTAAGAAGATACATTAGTTTAAAATGATAACAGCTGAATTAAGCATCTGGGATAGTGAGACTAGAAATAAAGACTAGGTGAAGGTTAGTTCTGGCTCCCAAAACTTTATAAGCCGCTTTTTAAAAAATATTACTTTCATCTGATGCAGCATTGAAGATATGAATTAGATCTGTTATGAAACCAGAATAAGACATGTTTGTAAAACCTTATTTTAATTTTCAAATATCCTTTACCATAAATAGTTCTTGTGCATTATCAGATAAAACAATCATTTTAACATCGTTCTAGACATGATTTCAATACTCATATGTAAGGAGTGGAGAAATAAGGTTAAAAGGGTACATGGAGAACCTTCAGTGACAACATTACACATTAAGAGAATCCCCTTGTAGATAATGTACAGTAAGCTGAAAATGTACAGCATTAAAAAGTGGCATGTGGTTATGGAGATAAAAACAGAGTGTCAACTTTGTACTTGGCTACAGCTGCCTAGAACTGGTTTAGGGTCAACATGAGTAAACAAAAGATTTTTACAAATCTTCCTATTAACTTAAGGCTAATAAGGAAATAAGCATAAAATAATATAAACCAATTAAATTTTTCATTTACAAAATCAGAAATTCTAATAACCAAACTACACCAAGAATGACCAAACTCAATGATTTAGATGAAGCTTTTCCACTTGCTATGCTAAGAATAACAGTCTAATCGTCCCAAGACAGATTGACCTCATGTCAAATTGGCCCAATTTTTTGAATGAATAAATATTTTACTTTTCCCCAAATGGAATTGTGATAAAATTTTTATATCTGATAATTATTTAATCCCCCCACCCCCTCCTCAAAGCAGTCAATGAATTTAAGATTTTTAATTTACTAGCCCAAATTCCAGTTTTGAATTTATTTTACTATATATATAACTAAATTTTCTTAAAATTTTCACTGGCCCGAACTAATTTTCACTGGCCATGGGCCTCTGGGCCAGTGCTAAATTCGATGACAGGCAAAGTTGTTTTTTTCTGTTAAACATACAAATTTGAGTATACAATACTCCTTTACATATACATTTACACATTATGCACATCATTAATCAGGTTGTGCTTATTTGTTTTGCAGACATGTCGTTTTGGATAAAGTTTTTCAAGGAAGCTGGTATACCCGCTGGCGATGCTGCTAACTACGCAGTGACATTCACAGATAATAGGATTACACGAGCTATGCTGTTAGATCTCACTAAAGAATATCTCAATGATATGGGCATATCTATACTGGGTGATGTCATTGCTATATTGAAATATGCCAAAACTGCTCACAGTCAGGTAAGCTGGCATTAATGTCAATGTTTGAAATTTGAAAGATGATGACAATATGTTAAATAGATAAATTATGATCTTCAAATTGTTTAGTATTCATACTGAAAACATTAACTTTATTTATATCATTATTTGAAGATATAACTGGACATCTAAAGTATTTTTACTTTCAACCAACTGGAAAGTGCAAAGTCTTAAAATATTTTACTCAACACAATCAATTTTTAATACAGTTTATCTTTAACATTAAAAACTGGATATGTGATTCTGAGCAATTTTTTATATTGAAGAAATTCGATAGATTGTTTGTTATTATAGTATAAATAGTATGACGCATGAATCAAAGATAGCTTTATTATTTAGCTATACTTTAGGTGTTGTCTCACAATGTTTATGTATTTTAGGATGCGAGAGACAGGGCATTAAGAGATACTACCATAGCTGAGGTTATTACTCCAAAAAGGTCAACTCGTAAGTACCGTAATGTGTAACTGTTTTTATTTTGACATTCCGTTTTACAATTCCATTTCATTTTTGGTATATGATAGAAACCTATTGTCAGAAAAAAATGTCACTTTCTTACATTGTACTTTTATAACAAAAAAGATTTGTTTGTAAAATAAAAAGTTTCAAATATTTTGAACTTGTAAAAAAAAAAAACACAAAAAAACATGATTTTTTCTTTTTGGCTTTAAATGTATTTAAACATGAAGACTTTAGTGACACCAATTGAGGCATTAGATGTTGTTAGAAGACATGTTCAGGCAAACCTTAATTTTTGTCATTTACACAGATTAAACAGAAGTTGTATATTGAAGGTTACATTATTATAATATTAACAGTTGCAAATTTTTGTGAACAAGTTTATAAATAACTGATTTTGAAATGTCATGTGCTGCACAATTGTGTATTATTTAAAATGATCAATAAACAGCATAACATGTTACTGAACATTATGTTTTTTAAAGGTGCAGTACATGTATATTTACTAAAGAGGTATTCTTCATGTGATTACTTTTGCACTAAATTTTGCGTTACAAAATGACTTGCATAAGTACTCTGCACAACTTCTCGCTTGCTTATTTACTTGAATTTATTTGAAGTAATTATTACAATACAAATAATAACTTACATGTGAACATTTCTATATTTTAGCTGCCAGTCGTACAATAGGGCATTATTTAGGAAGTGCAGATAGAAGTGCCTCTCCATCCCTCACTCCATCTCCTAAAATCTCACGAGAACTCTCAGCCAGACTTGGATCACCTACCTCAGGTAATTTTCTTCCATTAAAAAAAATCATAGCAATAATAGTCATTTAATTAAAGAAAATTGCTAATGTATAGGTTATTGGTTGATAATTATATACATGTATACCAATCCCATACTTAAGGATATTTTTTTGCATTGGCATATATTTGAAATTGTTGTCATAGCACAAGATGTAGTGGTTTCATTTTAAAGCTTGTTATTTTCACCATTTTGCTACAGTGGTGAAAACAAGACCAGTAATTTCATAAAAAGTAATGTTTGGCAGAGGCTACATACACTTTTTAGTTAACATGTAATGTCATGATTTTTTAAGAAGTTTTTAGTTTTTAGCATTGTAAATTTTTATACAAAGATTGATATATGCACTGATGAATTTACCTTCATGTTTATGTAAAAACAAAGTTTCATTGTTATTTATCAAGAAAACCAAACTGCAAAACTTATTTTTGATTGTACAATGATGCTATTATCTACATTTATGCAGTCAGTTTTTTTTTTAGCACATCTGTCACAAAGTGACATGGTGAGGTTTTGTGATCGCTTTTCGTCATCCGTAAACTTTCACTTTAAACGACATCTCCTCATAAACCGCTAAGCCAATTTCATCCAAATATCACAGGAATGTTCCTTTGGTAGACAACTTTAAAATTGTTCAAAGAATTTAATTCCAAGCAGAACTCTGTTTGCAATGGCAATCGAAAGAAAAAACTTAAAATATCTTCTTTTAGAAAACCGTATGAGCTAGAGCTTAAATATTTGGCATGAAACATCATCTAGTCAGTGTCTACCAAGTTTGTTCAAATAAATGCCCTGGGGTCCAAATTTGCCCCGTCTGGGGGGTCATTTATTTCCTTTTATGTATATAGTAAAAACTTCATTTAAAAAACCCAAATAGCTAGACTTTAGCTATTAAGCATGACACATCTTCTAGTGGGTGTCTACCAAGTTTGTTCAAATAAAAGCCCTGGGGTCAAAATTGGCGTCGTCCCAGGGGTGTCATTGTTTTTCCCTTTATGTATATAGTAAAAACTTAAAAAATCTTCTTTTAAAAGACCTTTAGAGCTAGAGCTAAGATATTTAGCTTGAAACGTCTTCTTATGTGTGTGTACCATTTTTGTTCAAATAAGGGCCTTGGGGTTAAAATTGGCCCTGCCATGAGGATCATTGATTTTCCTTATATGTATAAAGTTAAAAACTTAAAAAATCTTCTGTTAAAAAACCCAAAGAGCTAGAGTTTAGATATTAAGCATGAATTATCTTCTAGTGAGTGTCTACCAAGTTTGTTCAAATAAAAGCCCTGGGGACAAAATTGGCCCCGCCCAGAGGGGGGGGGGGGTAATTGTTTTTCCCTATATGTGTATAGTAAAAACTTAAAAAATCTTAGAGCTAGAGCTAAGATATTTATCTTGAAACATCTTCAAATGGGTGTCTACGAAGTTTGATCAAATAAAAGCCCCTGGGTTAAAATTGACCCTGCCCCGGGGGGCTTATATACAGGTGAGCTATTTCAGGGCCATCATGGCCCTAATGGTTACAAATAACTTTTTATTACATTTATAATAAGAAAACCTCCTTACCTTAGATAAAACTTTATATTATTACATTATACTAAATTCTGATATTTGTATAAAACAGAATCCCTGCCAGCACCCTCAACAATAAAAATCACAACTCGAAATATTCCTAAGGAGGTAGTGCCTGTACCGAAGAAGAACCGTCGTGTGTTCCCAGAAGATGAAGGTCATTATACTATAAATCTACCTCAAGGCACTGCCACTAAAACAAAGAAAATACTGGCACAACAGAGACAGCAAGCTGAGTTACAAAGAATAAGGGCAGAGGAAGGTTTGTCTCTTATTCTTTTTGTAAATGTGACAAGGTTTTACTCTTATTGTTTATGTGACAAGGTTTAACACTTATTCTTGTAAATACACTTATTCTGCTTGTTAATATGACATGGTTTCAAAGTGTGATAAGGTTACACATTTATTCTTCTCGTTAATGTAAAAAATTTATGCATAAAGACAAATCACTAGTGATATCTATACCATTACAAATTTGTTACAGAAAAAAAGAGGGTCAGCAGTAAACAGAATTCAGTGTTTGCACGTCTTGGTAAGGAGAAACCCCAAGCTGTAGCCACGCCATCATCATCTCAGCCAACAGTGACAGTAACAGGGCTGGGTAACATCAATATACAAAACTCTGCTGCCCAGGTAAAATTTGTGAATCTCTACATTTAATAGTCTTTACAGTTACCTTGCGTTTATCGTACTTTACATTTTATATCTATGAAGATCACCTAAGCTTCAATGTGCTGAATTAACTTTATTGTACTGTTCTTGTTAAGGAAGTACCTTATGATATTTCTCTTAGACTTTTAAAAAAACAACAAAACATGTCAATAGACATATGCTTTTAATACATTGTTTATGAACATACTTGTATATTTGACTGTAGCAATCAATATTTGCTCGTCTTGGTGGGAAGACAACTGTAAAAAGAGCAGCAACATCAACAGTGACATTTGATGATGATGAAGACGAGGATGCTGATCCTATACCTCTAGAATATGCTGGTGTTCTTAAAGAGTCTCCGTCCAAAAAGGCCAAGCTTGAAGTAGCTAAAAAGCTCAAAAAGACTGCAAGTAAAACATTAGGTAATTATTGCTGAATTGTCAGGAATGAGAAGGGTGTAGCCAACTATGTGAAATTTAAAGTAAACAAAAAATAATACTCACTGTTGTTATGAAGGTTTATTTAACTCTTATTGTTTATTTGTTTACATGGTATTACAAATGTATGTTTTGTACACCTGCTTAGCTCAATAGGGAGAGCATCTGGTTTGTAATTAGGGGGTTGCTGGTTTGATCCTTGGGTGAGATTCTGCTGATTAAAGAACTATGTGAGATTAGTAATTGGTCACTTACTGAGAAATTGGTACATGTGATTATTTGTTAATTATCTAATAAAAGAGGGTTAGATGCAACAACAGCCAAGATATGACCAAAAATGTCATTTATAGAAAGAAACAACCAATTTAATCTATTTCGAAAGTAAAACAGATGCTCTGTTTAGTATTGGTTTAAGAATGTTTATGATATTTTATTTCATAGAATGAAGATTTTTTAGTTTTCATTTCTGTTATAATAAAGCATAAATTTTAAAGATTTGTTATTTTAGCTAAAGCCAAAGTTGCTCAACCAGAAACAGCTGGTGTGCTTGCCAGTAGTGTAAATCAGTCAAGTGGCAGTATCAAGTCTCGACTCGGACCTAAGGTTGCCGAGGCATCAAGTACAACTCAAAGTCCTGCACCCTCTGTAGTCAAAAAATCACTGAAAAGTAAGTAAAACATGTACTTAAAGGCACTGAACTGAGTATTTTGGCATAAGGGGACTAGAATAACTTTCAAGATAAATGATCCATTTGGTGTAGATCTAGACCAGTAAATTGCGAAAAATATCAGATCATACTCTCACTCATTTTCCAGATAATTTTTCAAATTGTGAAAAATGACCGGAAATTGAAAAGGGCTGAGAATTGCACAAAATTATTTCTGTGTACATGTATATTATTTATCATTTGCATCTTTCTGTTTTAAGTGCCCCAGCTGATCTTTGTAAGAAATTCAAATAATATGTTTAAAGCTTTTGGACCTTAGTGGGTGTTATAAGTATTATTATGTACTGGTATTTAATTCCTGGCCTCAAGTTTTGTAAACTGTTTTTCTTAGTTTTGCATATCAGGATATACATTGGTCATTATTCATTCTGTGTCCCTTTCTGACCATTCAGATACCCAAAATCTTAGCTTGAGCCTACGACCCTGATATTTAAGTCTGACAAAATTTAAAACTTAAAAGTCAAAGCTGATTAAATATTTGATGGTCACTGGTGAACAGATTAATACTATCTGATTTGAATCTGTTATGGAATTCTTAGTTGGGAATGACTTTATATATATATAACAGATACATTTATATATATTTGTAGTAGAAATTGATAGAATATTATTGACAGTCTAATGATATTGTATTACTATGAGTTAACATTAAATTTAATCCTAAAATGTGTCCATTGTGTTTATATAGGCTAGAATGCAGCAAATCATCATATGTTAGTTATCATAAAGTGTATCTTTTTATGCCACCGCAGCATCTGCGATGCGGTGGCATATAGCGATTCACCTGTGTGTGTGTGTTTGTTTGTGTGTGTGTGTGTGTGTGTGTGTGTTATATAGATTATATAGTGAACTTAAAAAATCTTCTTGTGAAAAACCACTTGTCCAATTTCAACCAAACTTGGCAGGATTGATCCTTGGGTGAAGGGCTTCCAAAGTTGTTCAAAGAATTTCATTCCATGCAGAAATCTGGTTGCCATGGCAACCAAAAGGAATTATAAGAATAAATTAAAAAAATCTTCTTGTAAAGACCCAAAAGGCCTAGAGCTTAGATATTTTGCATAAGGCATTGTCTGGTAGACCTCTACCAAGATTGTTCAAATTATAACCCTGGGGTCAAAATCAGCCCCGCCCCGGGGGTCATTGATTTTTACTATATGTACATATAGTAAAAACTTAAAATAACTTCTTGTAAAGACCAAAAAGGCCTAAAGCTTAGATATTTTGCATAAGGCATTGTCTGATAGACCATTACCAAGATTGTTCAAATTATAGCCCTGGGGTCAAAATCGGCCCCGCCCCGGGGGTCATTGATTTTCACTATATGTACATATAGTAAAAACTTTTTATCTTCTTGTAAAGACCCAAAAGGCCTAGAGCTTAGATATTTTGCATAAGGCATTGTCTGGTAGACCTCTATTCAGATTGTTCAAATTATAGCCCTGGGGTCAAAATCGGCCCTGCCCCGGGGGTCATTGGTTTTCCTTATATGTATATAGTAAAAACTTAATAGTAAAAAAATTTCTTCTAGCAATTGACAAATGCTAGAGGTTAGATATTTTGCATGAAACATTGTGAAGTGAACTTCAATCAAGATTGTTCAAATTATAGCCCTGGGATCAAAATTGCCCCTGCCCTGGGGGTCATTGATTTTCAATATATACATACATGTATAGTAGAAAATCAAAAAATCTTATGTCTGAAGGTACAAGGCTTAGAGCTTGAATATTTGTTAAATGATATCATCTATAGGTACTCTACCAAAGTTGTTCAAATTTTGCCTCTTGTGTCAAAATTAGCCCCGCCCTGTGGGCCATAGGTTTTCCTTATATGTATATAGTAAAAACTTAAAAAATCATCTTCTCTAAATTTACAAAGGCTAGAGTTAAGATATTTTGCATGAAACATTATGTAGTGAACCTCTAGCAAGATTGTACACATTGTCAAAATTGGCCCCACCCCCAGGAGTCATTGATTTTCACTATGTACATATATTAAAAAAAATAAAAAATATTTTTGTCTGAAGGTACAAGGCATAGAGCTTTGATGTTTGCTATATAATATCATCTATGGGTTCTCTACTAAAGTTGTTTTAATTATGCCCCTAGTGTTAAAATTGGCCCTGCCCAGGGGCAGTGATTCTCATTATGTTCACATAGTAAAAACAGAAAATAAAACAAATCTTTTCTGAATGGGAGAAAGCTACAGCTTAGATATTTGACTTGAAATGTTGTTTGGTGGACCTGTATCAAGATTGTTTTGAATTAAACCCTTGGGTCCAAAATTTTGCCTTGCCCAAGGGGACAGTGACCTACTTTCTTGTCCTTTGATGAACAGCAATGAAATTTTGACCATGTGCACAGTTTTAGTTGTAAAATTGAACTTTGATATCAGGTGACCTAGATTTTGATGATGTTACCTACTTTCTTGTCCTTTTATGTACAGCTATAAAATTTGAACCATGTGTACAGATTAAGATGTTAAGTGAACTTTGATTTCAGCTGACCTAGATTTTGACAAAGTGTCTTACTGTGTTGTCCTTTGATGTAGTCATGCAATTTAGGCTGTGTGAAATATGACCATCAAATTCACTAGACTCAAGTGCATTGATATATTCCTACTCTGATCTTTTATTGAGTTAACAACAGATTTAACCACTAATCTGATAATAAGAATTAGATAGGTCAGGGATCTATGCATTATGACAATCTTCAAAATTGTATATAGAAACAAAAAAAATCTGTTCCTACACTACTATTTAGTGTTGTATTAATGCGGTGGCATAGCATTTTTCTCAAATGCAATCTTGTTTGTGTGTAAATATTGTAATATCTGCTATTTTTAGGTACTCAAGGAAGAGTGGGAAACAAGGGTCTTGATTCTATTACAATAACTGTGGATACTACATCAAAGGTCAAGGCTGGTTCAGGGTCAACCAGTGCATCAGGTGTGTTCTCCAGGCTGGGCAAGCCTATATCATGAGAGACAGCAATGCTGGCCAGTATTGAACTCCAGGTGTCTGGAGATTGGGTTATAATGGTTGTACCTATATATATGATTGTAGCAATGATGTAATGTAACCGTGGCAATATTCAACCTTGCTTACTGGTACCTAGCTTTAAAGTTGATGAAAGTCTTTGTAGTGCAATGCACTTTGGTTTTGAGCATGAAATGCACACTGGTCCCTCCATTATGGATATACTGGAGTGAGTAAATTGTGGTTTGTGATAAGGAATATTTCCTGATATAAAGTTTAGAATTGTCTGAGCTGTCTGTTAGCCTCACCCAATTTATTTTGACTGACAATGAATGATATGGGGCATAGAATTTAATTTCTATTTTTGCCTGACGTTATTACTTCAGTTAACAAATATATTTAGGAGGTTTTGTCTGTATTCCATTTCGTACATGTAATTGTTAAGTACATGTAAAATGATGGGAGTTATTTGACTGGCAATACTGTTGTTACAGAGGCAAAATTACTGTGATATTGTATTATATTGTATAAACATGTGTATACCAGGAAAAATTTCAGATTTTATATCTGTTTTAAGATAAAAATTTACTGAATCTCTTTCTATTTGTGTTCATAATTATATTTATAATTTACTTGGCAAGAAATGCTAACATGTCTGGGTATTTTTGGCTGATTAAATAAATGTTATGAGAGTGGTATCAATAAGAAAACTAAGGCAAACAATAAGGCGTTGGTGATTTATATTAAGCTTAAACAACTGACAGCTTGGGCCAGGGTCAAGATAGTTTTGTTAGATAGAATTAGGCCAAAGGCAGGAATGCTGTACTTATAAAAAAATACTACAGTGTTTCAATTTGGGACGGGACAACTAAATAAAAAGATATACTTTATTGAAAGTTATGATAATTTTATATAGGTAAATCTTTGAGACAACGAAGTTGTTACATTAACAGAAAAGTTGAAATAGAAGCACATATCAAATCAAGCTAAATATTTTTAAGAAAATCAATTTTTGAATGGTACAGATACTGAAAATCTGTATTCATTTTTCTTTAGCATTTGACGATAGAATTTTGTTATTATGCTGCTCATAATTATATTCTGTATACATGTCATACATGAAAACAACAGTGAAATAAATACAGTTTGTGAAAATCATTGGATGTATCATATGAAATGTGTCTACTTTTCAAATTTGATGTGCTACCCTAAATTTTGATAGATTCTATATACCTAATTGATTTGTCATTGTAAATAATGAACAAAAAGATCTTGCATTCATGAAATTGCTTAATCATTTTATTTATTTTAAGAATTTTTTCTAAAAATTCTTGTGAGTGTATTTTTTATTTCATGATATCTATGACATATTCTACTTTGTAAAGAAGTCCATGCTTTCTTGAAATAACTTTTCATTTTATTTTAGGGTTGATCAATATATACTTTTATTTTTGTAGGGCATTTGTTAGCTGAAGATAGAAATATACTAAATTATTTTAGCAATACAATACCTGAAACAAATTTCTCTGTCTTTTATTTATTATTTCATTGATATCAGATGGATTGCCGAGAGTGTATTGTTTGACCATATGTCAGTATTTGTTTGCGAGCTGTATCATTTGATACATAAGGTTCATATTGGTATATCTTATACACACATGCACACACCTGTTTTGGCAGCTGGGTGTAACCTTCTTCAATAAACCTGCAATGTTGTGGTAGGACTTTGTGTTGGTGTTACATAAAATCCAATCACTGATCTTCCTTACGAAAGGTTGATTATCAGATTTTTAATATGTGCAAAAAGGTTTGAAAACAAAGAATAGTTCCGGTTACAGTTTTCAAGGTATAGTGACACAAGACAGTCTTGACTTTATCACTTAAAAATCAGCTCTTCATTTTTCCACCGGTACTTTTACCATACCTAGATCAAGGTACATGTTATGGAGTGTCAGTCAGGATATGATATTAATCAGACTGGTCTTGACTCGAGAAAGGACTGTTACAATGTTGGAAAAAATAGTCTTGAACATGTACATGTTTGCATGATCATAAACAATAGTTCATGTTGTACAGTTTATAGAATTTAAACATCTATATTACAGAAAAATAACATAGCTCAGAGTTTCTAGTTGGTTTCACATGTTACTGGAGAACATAAAAGACTTATTTAACTAATCAAAAGCTCTCGTCGGTTTAATGATGATCAAGATTATAAAATTTTCTCAGAAACTAACCTTTTCACTTCAAACTATGTATACATATTTTTTGTCCTGATAGGACACATTTCAAAAGAACAGATAATTCAAACTAGAAATGTGTCATCATGCCACGGATGCCCCCGCATGCAGCCAAAATTTCAGATGTTATAATATTTAGTTCCAAATTTGTTTGCACAAATTATTTTTTTCATTTTAAGTTCAAAGCCCTTAAAACTTTCCAATGTTAACACAAACCATTTCCATACAATGTTCAAGGCACTGAAATTATTCAGTCTTAACCTTTTGAAAATAGCATATTTCATATTTGTAGCCAAAATAATAGCTACATACATTTCCACAAAAGTATGAGTGCTGAAACTGAAAGTTCAAAATTTTTCCAACATTCAAGAAAGATAAGTTTGTCCAAAATCATTGAACCACGACCAAATTCAAACTTAAACTGCTTATTCCTAAGATGTATCTATTATAGTCTATATTATTTTCAAAGTGAAAGGGACATAACTCTGCCAAAAAATCATCGAACCATGACCAAATTCCAACTTGACCTGCCCATTCCTTTGACATATCCATATGTCAAATTTGAGTTGAATATTTAACACTGTTGGGTAGATAATGAACAGAAACTGTAAATTTATATTATTTTCAAAGTGAAAGGGGTTTTACTCTGCCAAAAATCATTGAACCATGACCAAATTCGAACTTGGCCTGGGCATTCCAAAAACATATCCATATGTCAAATTTGAGTTGAATGTGTTGTACCGGTGGGGAGATAATGAACAGAAACTGAAAATTTCATATTATTTTCAAAGTAAAAGGGGCATAACTCTGCCAAAAATCATTGAACCATGACCAAATTCGAACTTGACCTGTATTTTCTCATGACATATCCATATGTCAAATTTGAGTTGAATGTGTGCAACCGTTACTCAGATAATGAACGGAAACTGATGATGACGGAAGGACGGAACAGGGTAACATTATATGCCCCAGCGGGGCATAAAAATATTATTTTGTAAAGTTTTGCCCCTTTTTCTGCTGCTTTAATTTTATTTAATTATATAGCACTGAGAAAAGTTGAGAAGCTGTCCATGGACAAGGCTTGTTTATCTAAGTAACTTGGCTAAATTAGCAATGGAAGATAAATGGCGTTACAAAACTGTGTTGAACTTATTTTGTGAACATGTATCCTGTTAAACCTGATTTCATCTTATTAGAACCACTAGAATTTGCTTCCTGGAACTACACAGTACTTTTGCCATATGATGAAACATGCTTGTGATCTGAGTAGGGCTCAAACGTTGAACACATTGACCACTAGGCTATCTTCCTTTCTTACCTGATGTCTGAAGATCTTACCTGTGAGGTAAACTTACCAATAACAGAAAATTTACACGGAAATGCCTTTAAGTTAAAATTTATTCTCTGTGATTATAAACAATTTACAAAGAATAAACACAAAGCAGTTATTCCAATATATAACACATACTACATTTGTTCTACAAGAGTTCTGTATGGGCATATACCAACAATCTTAACTCTGCAAAGCATGAAATTGATCGAATCTACTTTGTGCAGTATGTATGGGGTCCGAAGATATATCTATAATATATATAAATAATAATTATGTAGATCAATATTGACATAACAACACTCCTTACAGCAATTTTGGATATGAAAAGCCCACTGGAGGTAACTGTTTAAGGTATGCACAAAGCCTTCATAAAACACTCTACAATCTACCGGGTTATACCGTATAAAAATGTTATTTGAATGGACTGACTGGACATAAAGGAGTTATTATTTCTAGTTCCCTTCAAGACAAAACGCATAAACAATGATCACAGCTGGTATATCTCCAATTTGTTTGCTATATTTATAATAATTAATATCTTTTACCAACAGAACAGACAAATTACAAGTCAACACTTAATATTTTCTCTTAAATGTGATATGTATAATTTCATTCACAACATTTAAAACTTAAATTTGTATATAGTACTTGCTTATTTAGTTGCATAACAAAATAATTTCAGAACACTGATTCTTTAATATACATGTTCCAGTATTTTATTTAATGTTGTATTCAAACACGCAATGAAGCTTTCTTCTAAACAGAGCAAATTAACCTTTCAGAAACTAAAATGAGACAAAACGTTACAAAAACAGAATCAACATAAGTACAAATTCTGAAGAGAGGACTTCGCAATTTCCCTGTGAGCACATAAGAGTGAAGCTTACAAAGTTTGTGTGATCATGTGAAGTGTAAAATTATCAAATAAAAAACATACACAACACGTGCCCTTTAGTTCCAGTTTGAGACAGAATTCAATCTTCAGATTTTAGGGTATTGAAATAAATATTTATGAAGGACCGCCTGTATTATTCCAGAAAAAAATTCTTACATGAAACTGCTCGAAAGTTGTGTTAACGAAACTTCCTGAAAAGATAATAACTGTTTTACACAATTAAACATCAAACAAAACTTTTATTGATGGAATGTGGTACACATCAATCACACTTAGACTTGCCTGAACACAACAAAACACACTTTTATTGTTATTTAATTACAAATAATCAATATAGTAACATAGTATACAAACTCATATTCTGAAAGCATCAGTTGATGTTGAATCATGCTTAGAGAGTCCAGGGGAAGCAAAATTAATTGTCCGTATTGCCCAGGTTGTCTCAAAGTCTGTCCTGACAAGAGGATTCTTTTTTAAGAATTTTCTATATATAAATATCATTAGGCCAAGTTAAGAAAAGCTTCAGATAAAAATAGACCAGAAAGTCAAAATCAGATTTTACTTCCTGTCTAAGAATATCTGGACCCGATACATTTCATTTTAAATCAACTACACAGAACATGTACAATTACATTACAAACATTTTTATTTTTTTTGTAAAACAATCACTCTTCTTTCATGAAATCTATGTTAGTACACAATAAATCAGAGCTGGGTTGTTATTATTATTCAAATACCATATAAATTAAACAAGTCTTTAACAAATCAACTTCAAATTATGCATAGTGTAATTTTAAGTTCACAAAACAGACAAAAAATAAAAAATATAAATGGCACAGTACCTTAACCCTTTCCCAACAATCATTTCAGAAATGAAAATATTTGGAAGCAAAACAAAAAGTATTATTATTCAATCAATATTATCTATATAAATATCAAAGGGTTAACTGATTCATATTTGTAAGAATATCAACCAATAAAACAAATTACCCGGTATGAAAGTTTATCAGAAAATTAAGCTATGCTCGTAATGCATGACTATAAAATTATTATTGTATGTCTTGCAATTGTGATCAATATACAAACTAAGCAAAATTCTAATCCTAAACTATTTTTGCAAGGTAGTACGGAATAATATCTTAAATAAATCTACATTGGTAAGTATGATTTGAATGAAAAGTAAAACTAATTGATCAGCAAGCTGGTAATGCTAGGTCCTATGCTATGTGGTCTACATATTACTTTAAAGTATTACTTATGATTACTAAACATGAATTACATAGAGAATGTATACTTCAGTCACTAATGGTATAATCCAAGAACTGAAAATTTAATAAAATTCATGCCAAAAATATTAAAACAAAAAACATCTGGACTTTCAAATATCAAATTCTGTTGCACAGAACAAAATAATCAAAGCAAAAAAGTCAAACAAATACTGCTAACTAGTTTAAACATTTACACATAAAACATTTACGACTTTATTACACTTGACCTACCACAAATTTTGTTCTTTTTATCTTTTAATGAAAAGGTTTCTCTGATAAATTAGAAAATAAGAGCTTCAATTATGAAATGAAGGTATCCATATTTGAAGCTTTAAAAAAAAATACCAAAGAAAGGTTCACTCACATTTTCATAGGACATAACCTCAACATTATTACTTATTGTTGACAGTTGTAATGAGCCCCTTAACATGTCCCTGTTGTACCTTTACTTAATTGTTACACAGTTGTGTTTAGTTTACAATTATACAATGTCAATATATTATAAGACAAACACAAACAAACATGGAGTTTGTCAGAGTGATAATAGCACTTCTATGCAAATAAATTAGAAAGAAAAAACAATATGAGCAAACCAAAATAGTTAACATCTTTAAAACATACAATAGTGCAAAAGAAAAACGATATCCATATCACTTTTGTCTGTAGCATGCACATAATTATCTAGGTATACAGCAGTGTGTGAAAATTGAGGTTGCAAGTTTAATTTTTATACAGAACAAATATATAATTATCTTCCATTTGACAGAGCTAAGTATGACTTAAACCTAGACACACCAACAAAACTTCAAGGGATATGCTCTATTTGTTGACACTGTTACAATGTTAAAAATCTGGATTTATATAGTACAATGTATTTCATTTCAAAAGTCAATCACAAGTAAATATGAGGCAGCCAATGAGACAGTCTTTATGCTCAAATGAAAATTTTTTTTATGAAAAGCTACATTAAATCTTACATCTGCCATTTCAAATATGTGATTGTCTAATCACATAATTCTAAATTCCATTGGAAAAATGCAGGGTTGTCGTTAGGGGGCGGCTGTAGGCCAAAATGACTGCCTTAAATGCATTTAGGGCCACCTTGAAATTTAGAAAATCCTCTTTTTTTGTATGTGTAAAAACCAAAAATGATGGCCTCATTCAGAAACTGTTAAATAATAACCCTGAATATGTGTGGCCAAGGACATCAATATGATATTGAGATGCTCAGGATTTAAAGCTGTTCACATCCATTACTCAAATTTAGCTGTCATGATTAGGCGGACAGAGAAAATATCTGGATGTAAATGGACCCTGTAGTATGATTCTCTAGTACTGATATATGAAAGGGTTCAGAGTAATTAAGTCTATATATGCCCATGAACTGATCTTAACATCCTTATATTACTTCCATACAAATACAAATAATTTTACGCCAAAAAACCCGTCATCTCAACAACAAAATCAACTTCTTATTTCTTTTTGTCTCTTGGTTATTAACACAAATAAAACCAAAATTCCAAAGTAACAAACAATTAAATGTTTTTGACATTTTTAAACTCATTTCAAGTTTATAATATTGGTGAAAACAAATTAATATTTCCCCAGAAATTATGTGGCATTACATAATCATTTTAACTGAAATTAAAAGACCGTTAATGAAATCACAAAAATCCAACTACTAAAAGTTGAAATTTGATACAAATATTAATTCATCAATTAATTCATCAGGAAACAAAAATATAGAAATTTGAATTCAAAATTTAGCAGAGAGAAAACAAATCATAATTATATAAATAAGTTTTAACTATCACAGGGGAATAACAGGATGACGAAATGTGAAAAATGATTCATAATGAATAATAGTAAAAAAACATCTCCTTTAATAACTCTAAAAAAAAACTGAATTCATAATTTTCAAATTTTAAATCTTTACATTAATAAAAAAACAGTTGTGTTTTAAAATAATACACATTTAAATGTAAGGCCAATATAAAGAAAGAGAAGATATGCATGTCATATTGACTCTGTGTTTACTTATTCTTCTAAAAAATATATAGGGAATAAACCTTTCCTTTTCCTCATTAGGTGGGGATAAACCAAACATTTGAAATATCAGTATACATGTATAGTATTGAATTTGTTTTGGAACTTCAACTTACTTACTTGTCTTTGCAATCTTTGTAAAATGTAAATTATTTATTTGCTTTCAACTCTAACACAACAATTTGAGTAGTTTTCTAAATTGCACCAAATTCATCGGTAGCTAACAAAACCTTTTGAAAATTTTTTGTAAGCAAAAACACCACCAAGTGCTAGTCCAACTACAACAACCCCTATAGCTAAATATATTCCCATGCTGGATGACGAGTCATCTCCGGGGCTGCCACTTTCTGCTTGTTTCTCTTGAGACCTTTTCTTCTGTAATTAACAATCAAATAGAAAACTGTAAATACTTTTATGGAATGGCCAATACATGTATTTGTCACACTGATAAAATAGAATATCAAATGCACTTGACAATGGGAAGTTTTTTTCAAAGTATGTAATGACATTGCCTTTCCAAAAAGATAAAATATAAACAAACTCCATAAATTTTATACATCATATTTACATCAATCTCATTATTTTTCCCTGTGGCCTTCCAGTCTCAAGTCTGCTGAGAAAAGAGAGAAGAATTTCTAAGGGGAGCAACTTCTACAAACACCAGTTTACTATCCACTTACCAATATTTCTGCTTGGGCTCCATGTTGAACCCGTAAAACAACTTCATCTTTGGCCCTCGTAAAACACTGTACAGCATCCTCGTGAGTCACGCTTATCAAACTTTTCCCATTTATCTGTATTTGTCATAGAATACATGCAGAAATTACATCAGTCTTCTTATCAAAATATAAAAAATATAATGAACAACTAAGCAAAGTTTTTATCAACGAAAAGAGATGTGGTTTAGACTAACTGGTAAGTATAAATATGTTCACAATCTTAGATATGGTAAAGTAAACAAGTTCACATATATTATATAACAGTTATTAGCAAGTAGAAGAAGGAGTGGACTAGGAGTTGAACAAGGTGTACTGAAACATACTAGTAATTAAGGGATGATATTCTCTATTACTACCAGGTCTCAATTACTAGTAAAATCAGCCGGGGGAGTGTCATATGGCAATAATACAAAATCACTATATCTTTCTTCCCATAAAATTGCAATGTAATGTAAAAACAAAGAAAATATTTCAACTTAATTATATTTCAAATGTAGAAAATTCTCACCAATTCAATTAATTTACTACTTAAGTAAAAAATAAATTCAACCTGTGGCCTATCTTTGGTAATTAAAATATACAAAATGAAGAACAGTAAATGTCTTTCTTTTATTGAATGAATATCTAAAAGACATATGTTTTGTCATACAAAAACATACCGATAATATCTTATCTCCTTCTTTGAGTCGTCCGTCAACAAAAGCAGCACCATTTTCCCTAACTTTTGTTACAAATATCCCAGAATCTCCTGGTATGTGAGGATTATCAACACCACCTCGTATGTTAAAGCCCAGACCTAAACAGACACAAATCAAAATCATTTCTCAGATGGTCTCTCATATAATGAAAAAAAACAACAACATAACAGAACAATTCTTATTGGCAGAAGTTGGCTGTGCTTTATCCCATAACCTGCTGCAGATTGTGTAATGGATATTCTCTTCTCTGGATCTGGAACAATCCGAGTTGGGATTTCAATTCACGAATTCGAAAACCTAGCATAACGCCGTTTTCCGGGACTTTCTGTACATAGCTCTGGGGAATTCACCTAATGGAGTGTAATAGCGAACTCGATGTTTTCGGCCTTTTTTAAAATTAAATTGAAATAAAACAGTTATTTCTTTATAAGAAAATAATTGAATATAATTGTATGAATAATTCCATACAAAAAATAAAGTAAATACACAAGTTTACGCGCAGAAAATAACCTTATTTATTATGGAAGATTCCACTACGTCTTTTTTAATTTTTATTGATTTTCATTATAAACAATTTATTTTTTACAAAAATTTGCTATAGATATTAGAGGAATATTGATAATTTTCAAAAACATCATTTTTTCACCTTAATCGGTAAAAAAATGATAGAAGAATAGAAATATCATGTAACTGTTTTATGTACTTCATTTGGTGTAATTCCCCAGAGCTAAATCCGCAACGTACCGGAAAACGGTGTTTAGCTAGGTTTTCGAAAAGGTCAATATCAAAATACTAACATTGAGCTACCAACAGTATCAAGCCTAGTCAGAATAAAATGTTGTGCAGGCTGGCCTGGCCCTACCATACCATGGTTGTGAAAAAACAGTATTATTATAGATGTTGAAATATGAATTTTTTTCAAAACGGTTAATATCTAGTTATTTTGATATATATGATCAGTAGGCCATACATGTGCTGGTTTTTTATTTGGTTTTAAAGGCGTTTTGAGCTCCACTACACAAGTGTCTGTGTAAAAAGTTTGTTTTTACCTACGGATTAGCTGGAAAACCCCGCAATATTCTTAATTCCGAAGCATGTCTATTGGTGCCGGGTTGACTTGGAGCCTGATTAACTTGGGGCCGGGTGGATTTTTATTCGAGGTGGGTGGGGTATGAGGTTTCGCTTTAGCTTCTTGAAAACTTACCAGTGGAACCACGTGACAGCTTTATTTCAACGCCATCAGGTGGATTACTTTCAGTTGGTTTATCCATTTGTCTATTTTGTTTTAAAACATAGATCTTCTCTGACAACGAGAAGCCGAAATAAACACCTAAACGCAATCCAAGGTTGATTTTTTTCTATACCGGAAGTAGTTATCCGGATACCACGGAATTTATCGATGCATTGGCGGAAAAAATGTTGAAATGATACCATGACGTGGAACAAAATACAAGTTTTTTCATTTAATGCATCAGGTATAATTACAAACTAGTGGTGATATAACTTACAAAACATTTATCTATCATAGACATATTGATATATACTCGTTTTTTACCTTTTAAACAACGAATTGCATGGTCCCTTGTCTGGCATTTTTGCTCTAATTAAAACAAACACAGATCTATAAAATTTCCTTTTAAAAGGAAAGGCCTGCTCAGTTGTGCCATCATCCCTTCCCTTTAAAATTTTTTTTTTTTTCAATTTATTGTCACAATTTTTTTAAATTTATTACGGTATTTGTATATCATAAAGGGTTTATTTAGTTGTTTTTTTTTCTCGAAAAAAAAGTTTCACTTTTAAAGGGATATGTAGGGTAAGCCCAAGACTTGACGAGCACCTGTGCCCATTTGTTTGAGCACCAGTGTTATACGTGCAAATTTGGACCAAATAGGGACCAGAAGTCCACTGATTATAACTGAAAGGGAACAATCATGCTGACGATAACAGTAGCAACTTTTTTTTGTAAAAACAAATGTTTTTTTGTCAAAAACGATTCGAAATCTATTTTCTATTGTATAAAACTAATAAAGAAAATAATCAATCGTAAAAATACTAACATTGGCTCTCACATGGAGATCAATCTATCGCAAGTGTGCACATTTCATTTCCACTTTTTTCACAGAGAGTCTTTCGTTTTGGCAGTTGCTAATTTCATTTATATAATATATAGCAGCTTTAGAGACAAGTAAATGCACTAAAAGACTTCGTTACGTGGTACCAATTAATAAGCATGTATCAACTATGTTACACCTAAAATATCTATGATCGACAACACAGGAGATCAGCACGTGGCAAGGTTAATGATATGCATGGGCTATTTTTAGATTACCTCACCTCTGTCAGTAGATCTAAATATAACTTGATCATGCACTAATATTTTGCGTGATTCGGTCAAGATCTTTTGATAAGCAGGACCGCCCTTTGGAGACGGAATACTACTACAGTAACCATTCTCTATTGTATAAAACTAATAAAGACAAAAAACAATTATAAAAGAAACTAACTTTTGCGTCTTGAAAAAGAATTGAAACGGAATCAAGTAAAAATAGAAATCCTATTTATATAAACAAACTGGGATTACCAAAGTAACTAAAATAGCTTAGATTTCCGTAATATTACTTCGTCTGATTCCGCAGTATGACGGAATTGCCCGAATTGTCACGATTGCATTCGGAACTACATTGGCTATTATCATTAATCCGAAGAGTGACGGAAAGGGCCGAAAAGTTGCGATTGGCACGATTGCAGCTGGTTTCCCGTTCAATCATGCACTAACAAATGTAAGCAGGAAACCACCTAACCGGAACAAGTTTTCCAAAACAAATGGCTTGCAGCTGTGGCTGCAAGCCAAAAAACTTGAAAAACTCCAGCATAGAGCTCTAAAAATAGTATTTAATGATTTTAATTCTTCATATGACACATTATTAAAAAAAGTAAATATGCCTACTTTACATTTGTCAAGAATTAAAACTAGCCAAAGAAGTGTTTAAATGCCTGTATGGAAAATCACCACCTTATATAAATGATTTAATTCAATTTAAAAATATTATTTTGCTTAGTTTTAATTTATGTAAAATGCTTAGACTACATGTTTTGTTTGTTTGCTTTGCTTTTGTGCATCCCTTTTTAGTCTGCTATGATGCTTTGATTATATGCTGTGTGTTAATTTTCCTTAAACCCTATATTTATGCTAGTTGAGTCTTTGTTGTACGATCTGTATGCTTTGTTCATATTAAAACTCCTTATTCCCCATTCCATTAGGCTGTGCATGCAACTTAATTTTAGTTAACTTTGTTTGTTACCCTGTATGTGCTTTATCTTGTTTCTTTTTATGCTGTATTAGTTCTATCATAATTTTTGTGCCCCCACGTTAGTGGCGGGCATTTAGATTTACCCTTGTCCGTCTGTCCGTCCTTCCGTCCGTCCGTCCGTCCGTTCACTTTTGTGTCGCACGTAACTCAAAAAGTATTTGACCTAGAGTCATGAAACTTTACAGGAATGTTGATCAGCATGTGTAGTTGTGCACCTGGGTATTTTTGTGTGGATATTTTTAGTATTTTCAGAGTTATTGCCCTTGACTTAGTAAAATTTTGCAATTTTCAACTCGTGTCGCATGTAACTCAAAAAGTATTTGACCTAGAGTTATGAAACTTTACAGGAATGTTGATCAGCATGTGTAGTTGTGCACCTGGGTATTTTTGTGTGGATTTTATTAGTATTTTCAGAGTTATTGCCCTTGACTTAGTAAAATTTTGCAATTTTCAACTTGTGTCGCATGTAACTCAAAAAGTATTTGACCTAGAGTCATGAAACTTTACAGGAATGTTGATCAGCATGTGTAGTTGTGCACCTGGGTATTTTTGTGTGGATATTTTTAGTATTTTCAGAGTTATTGCCCTTGGCTTAGTAAAATTTTGCAATTTTCAACTTGTGTCGCATGTTACTCAAAAAGTATTTGACCTAGAGTCATGAAACTTTACAGGAATGTTGATCAGCATGTGTAGTTGTGCACCTGGGTATTTTTGTGTGGATATTTTTAGTATTTTCAGAGTTATTGCCCTTGACTTAGTAAAATTTTGCAATTTTAATAATAATAATAATAATAATAATAAAGACTTTATTTAAAGAGGCAACATAGTTAGGCAAGCCCAGTCTTCCCTATGAGCCTCTATCAAAAATGTACATATATACAGTTACAAACAAAGACTTATATAAACAAAGAAAGAAAACTAAATGTATACAAGTTATACAACAAAGAAAAGTTGAGTAATTGAAAAATGCAATAAGAAAATGAATACAAACATTTGAAAGTATGAAATTGTACATTTTATGAGACATACATGTATATATGTGATATTAAAACATAGCTAGATTATTTGGTGCCCACCAGAGAACCACCATTTAAGATAATTTGTTTTGAATGTTTGTAAGTTGGAAGAATTTCTTATGTTTAAAGGGAGGGAGTTCCAAAATTTTGAGCCTGAATATGATAGGGATTTTCTGCAGAATTCAATTCTTGGTTTGGGGACACTAAAAGAAGTTTTTGTTCATATGATCTTAATGATTTATTTTCTGTATTTGTAAAAAGATTTTGCATATAATCAGGGAGAAGATTGTTTAGGGACTTGTATACTAAAATGGCCTTTTTATAATTCACTCTATCAGAGAATTTCATCCAGTTCAATTCAGAAAATAACTCATCAGTAGGCGCATCAAAATCTTTATCAAGTATTATTCTTGCTGCATGTTTTTGAAATTTATACATGTCGTTTAAGAGTTCCTTACTGCAATTACCCCAAATAGTGCAACAATAGTCTAAATGAGGAAGAATGTATGCATTAAAGAACATTTTCCTAACTTGAAGATTTAGAAAAGGTTTAATTCTCAGAAGTAGATATAGTAAGGAATTGCATTTATTCAGCGTCATCTTGACATGTGTTTTCCAATTAAGTGTATGATCAACATGGACTCCTAAAAGTTTTTCTGTTTCTGAGAATTGAATGCTTTCATCTTGCAGAGTGATGTTGAAATCACTAGAATTATTGATGATATTGTAGATATTATGTGAAGGGGAAATAATCATTGCTTTGGTTTTTTTGGCATTTGGAATCATTGAATTTCTGGTACACCATTGTTGAATAGAGTCAAGGTCAGACTGAAGATTTATACAGATTGAATTGATATTTTGTCCAAATACTGTAATGGAAGTGTCATCAGCAAACATATTTGAAATGGAATGTGATAAGTGCAAAGGCATGTCATTTATGTAAATAATGAAAAGAAGAGGGCCTAAAACTGAGCCTTGAGGTACACCAGATGTAACATCTTGAGCATTAGAGTATTTTCCTGACACACATACTTGTTGTGAACGATTACTTAAATATGATCTGAACCAAGAAATTGAATTTTTATCTATTTTATACAATTTTAGTTTTTTTAATAACAATTCATGATTGATTAAGTCAAATGCTTTTGTAAGGTCAAGAAATATTGTCCCTATAAGTTTCTCTTCATTTATTGCTTTAATCCAGTTGTCAACAATTGAAGTTAGAGCCGTTTCACATGAATAATTTGTGCGAAAGCCAGATTGATTTGGTTGAAAAAGAGAGTTAGCTTCAAGAAATGATTTTAGGTGATCACTAACATGTCTTTCTAGAATTTTTGACAGGACTGGTAGTATTGAAATTGGTCTGTAATTGCTTACTTCATTCTTGTTGCCCTTCTTATGTATAGGTGTAACTTTTGCTTTTTTAAATATTGAAGGAAATATGCCATTTGATATACTGAGATTAAATATCTTTTCTAAGGGTTTGGAAATAATTTTAGAACTCATTTTAAGAAATTTAGGTCCTATACCATCTAGACCAGTTGATTTTTTGAAATCAAGAGATTGAAGTTCTTTGATTATGAATTGTTCAGTAATTTCTGGTATTGTAAATGGAGAATCAGTCTTTGAATGCATTTCAATAAACTCATGCAGTTTTATTTCATCTTCTTGTAATAAATTTGAACAATTTGCTGGAGCAGATTTAAAAATATCAATGAAATAGTTATTGAAAACTTCAGCTGTTTTTAGTGGGTCTGTAATTTTATTTCCATCTTCATCTTGAATATAACTTGTCTGGTGATTAGAAGATTTCCCTGATAATTGTTTGAGATTTTTCCACATTTCTTTAGCATTGTTTTTATTGTTATTTATTGTTTCTGAGTAGTAACTTTTCTTAGAACTAGAAATCAGGTTTTTAACTTTGTTTCTCCAATACTTATAATCTTCATTATTATTTATTTTTTTAGCTTTATCTCTTTGTTTAGAGGCATGAAGAATATCAGGATTGTACCAGTCTGGAAGATGTGTGTGTTTTACACGTTTTCGTTTTAGAGGGGCATGTTCAT